GAGGGGGGGAGAGATAACGTTTTCAGTGGCATTTTACTTGCACAACTTTATGGTGCAAACATTGTTTTCAAAATTTGGCAGGCAGTATAATTCTTAACTTTACCAGTAGCGTCTTCTTTGTTTCTACTTTTGATGATCTGTTATTCAAGGTGACACGTTGATTTGCTCGCAAAGGACTTTTATTTAAGCAAGACAATTTCTGAATGTTCAGATCACTCTGACTACCAAAACAAAGCCAACCTCGGGCTTTTATTGACCTCATGTCAATATCAAGCTTAATCTACTTTACAGATTTTATTATAGATTTATACTGCCTCTGTTATAGTTTAGGTTCTTGGTTATGACCGGTTATACAGGTTTGTATCATATAATCAAATCCAAACACAATAAAAGATTTTGAGAGCTAACACACTGGGATCAGCGATGTTGTGACGATACAGTTCAACAAGTTTTATGTTTGTTTTTTTAAAGAGATCCTGTACTAGCATGTCTTTAAAAGTAATATAAAAAAACTGTTATGCTGTGACTTTTTAAGGATACGGTATATTTCACAAAATCATCAGTTATTGCACTAAAGCTCTGTTTTTATTCTTACTGATGTGATTCAACAGGCAGAAAGTGGGGACATAACTCAAAGAAGGGCTGTGTTATTATTCCAACGTCTAACTCAAAGTGTATATTACCCAAACATCAAGGAGTTTGTATTTTCCATTTGTCTTCTTTTTTTCCTTTTCCTTATTTTTAAATTGCAAGCCCTGCAAGTAACTGAATTTGATTTTAAGGCCACAACAACTCCTTTCAAACCTGTGCCTTCCTGGATGTGAAAATGCAATGAGAATTTAGAACACAAAAAAGCAACGAGATAATTAATAAAACAAACAAACAAAAAAGCCTAGGTATAATGGAGTTGCTTGAAAAAGTTATTCAGTGTTTGACATGATGACAATTTGGCAAATTTAAAAACAATCTAAAACAATACCATTTACATCTTTGAAAACATCCTTTTTTCCAGTAAATTAGGGGCGTGAAGTAAAAGAAATGTGTCATACAAATCAGTCGTTTTCTTCGTTGGCAAACCAACTACAGCAAAAACAAATAGAGCTACATGAGCATGCAAACACTGTCCGTTCTTATAACCTGCAGGAAAGAGAAAAACTACGGCCATTTATCCAAAGTGATTTTCACTTGTTTTGAAACACAGGCCTAATTTTGACACGTGAAGCCTAACGACATCAATTTTCATAAGCTTAACAACATTTGTGGGAGATCTTTTCGACTTACTGCCCAGAAACTGTCAGTCAGTGACGAACAAACTGTGATTAGTTTGAATCAGTCTGCCAAGAACAGACTGACTATCATGGCAGAGACACGTTCCTATCCATCAGTGGTTCACAGCAGTCTATGATGCAGCCTCCTCGTTTGCTTCTGTGGGTTCACTTTGAGCCGGCTCAGAGGGTGCCGCTTCTCCTGTAGAAGCAGTTCCCTCTGGAGGCGGAGCTATAAGTTCTGATTCTGGCTTCTTTTCAGAAGCTTCCACACCTGGCTCCTTACTGGTTTCCTTGGTAACCTCAGGGGTCACGCAAGGTTGCTCTGTACTGTTAGGGGTCCGAAATCTGTCCACGTTTTCCAGTTCGGCTAAACGGTCATCTTTGTCCCAGCGTGTGGCCCTCTCACGCCGTTCTGACCGCCTTGGCCTGTCTCCTTTTGCCTCGGCTCCTTTGCCTCTCTCACGACTTCCTCGTTCTGTTCCCTCCCCCCTCGCTCGCTCTCTATCTCCATCATCGCCCCTGGCACGTTCCCTGTCGCTATCGAGGCTGCTTCGCCTCTCCCTCCAGTCCCGCCTGTCTCTGTCCCGATCTCGTTCTCGATCCCGGTCGCGATCCCTGTCACGATCTCGGTCTCTGTCTCTCTCCCATCCTCCACCCCGGTGATCGCCTCCATCTTCCTGCCATCCTCCAAGCCTGTCCCTACCATCCATTTTATCACCACCTGCTCCTCTCCCTCCATCGCCAAATGGACGCCTGCCACCTCCAAAACCTCTTTCCCTGTCTCTTTCCCTATCTCGATCCCAGTCTCTGTCCCTCTCTAGCTCTCTGTCCCTGAAACCAGGCCTGTCTCCCCTGAATGGTCTGCTATCCATTTCTTCTGGCCCCTCTAGACTCCGAGGACCGCCTGGTCGGGTAAAAAGAGGTGGACCCTGAGGAGGGGGGCCATGCCCATGAGGGAAAGGAGCCCTTAAATTGTGTGGCAGGGGCATCCCAAAGGCTCCTTTAGGCGGAGGTGGTTCATGGTGCTGCATCATTTGAGGGTGTGGCCCCCTGGGCATCATCTGTGGAGGCATGGGGGGCATGCCGGGGTGAGGTGGCCTTGAGCCATGGGGTGGTGGGAAACGCTGCATGTGTGTTGGTGGGGGAACAGGAGGACGCTGGAGGGGAATCAAACCAGGCCGTGCCCCTAGAAGACCACCTGAGGGGGGTGGAATGCTGCCGGGATGGCCGCCTGGGGGCCCCACCAGAGGAGCACCTGGAGGTCCACCTGAAGGAGCACCTGGAGGTCCACCTGGAGGAACACCTAGATGTCCGCCTGGAGGAGCACCCAGAGGTCCACCTGGAGGCAAGCCTACCTGGTTAACTAAAGACGAAAACCAAAGTATAGCATTAATATAACTACAATGTACTTATGATTACAAATAAACAATATACTTAAACAAACACTAACTACAAAATCTTTGGTACTATATTGCAAAACAACTAAGTGACTTCTAGCACTTTTCTATGTTTATTTAGCAAGAAAATAACACTTTAATGGTCAAACATAAGTCTCTTTAGAATGGATAGAGGAGAAGGGAAACATCACTTTGATCTGTGATGGGTAAGAAAGGCAGACTGACCCATAGATCCCATCTGATTATTAAAGATGTTGGGAGCCTCGAGGGCCTCGTCATTTTTCCGGTTTCCCAGACCTGCTGGGTCTAGAGGGGGGTCCTCAACTCCAGTTTTAGAAGGAGGAGGGGGACCAAGAGGCATAGCACCAGGGAGAGGAAAACCTGAAGAAGAGTAATAAAAGGAGTTAGGGTCCTGTTTGAATCAATTAAAAATGACTCTGAGTAAGCTGGATGGGTAAACTCTGAAAAGGTGCACTTGTGCAGTTTGTTGAAGTAAAACAGCAAAATCAAACTGCCAAAATCTCATTCATAACATGCACGCAAGTTAGCAAATGAATAAATGTATTTCTGATAAACATAAATGTGAAAAGAGAGAAATAACACTAGTCAACATCCACTATCCCCCATAAATATTAAAATACAAGAAACATGGATTTTGTTCCGTTTTACCCTTTAAATCTTTATCATTACGAACTTTTTGATCTCCTTCTGACAACATGATGGGAACACAAAAAAAATGAAGTCCTGCATGATTTTCTTTCAGTCACAATTCACTCATGAAAGCAAAACGATTAAGAGCTTTTTAATGACTCAATAAATGGGTTAACTGTCATCATTACATACCTCAGTCCCCAGCTGCCATCATTATTAAATAAAATGAATCACAAGTATAAAACTGATTTTTTTTCCTTTTCTTATTTCTATTACTGGCAGCGTCCAGTGCTGCCCCTCAGCCTCCTAGTTGATGGTATCAATTTCAAACACTTATGTCGCTTTATTCTCAAGTTATCACATTCACAAGATTTTTGTCAAGGTCACTGAGATTCAAACTTGTCCCAGATTTTAAGTAGTAATTTGAAAATCGCCTTGTTTTCAGTTATCGCATTCACAAACTTGGGTGTCCAACAACAATACCCTATCAGCCTTTTACGGCTGAGGGGTATATAAAAGAAGAAAACAAAAACCCAAACCTGAGAGCAGACACTGTATAAAAAAGACCGCAAACAAAAGTATGATTAAATAATAGAAATTGTTACCTGGAGGCATTTGCATGGGGTTGAAGCCAGGCCTGATGAAAGGAGGCGGCGGGACACCCGGAGGGAAGGAAGGTGGAGGCATGCCTATAGGCCCAGGAAAGACAGGAGGTTGGAGAGAACCCACACCAACCATTGGCTGCTGCATTGGAGGGACCTGAGAACATTTAGAAGTTACAGTTGATTTTAAATGAGAGAAGTGTGAGACAGTGTTTCATGTTGTGTTTCTATCCAGGTATGCCTTTACTGCACTGACAGTGCATTTGGGATCATTGCAATCCTGAAAAATGGAACTGCTGCCAATCAGACACTTTCCAGATGGTGGACAAAAATCTGACAGTACTTTTGCATGTTGATAATTCAGTCCATTAGGACACGCTCTCTAACACCTCTGGCCAAAATGCAGCCCTGAATTATGGCAAAGCCTCTACGAGGTTTGACAGATGGCTGTGGACACACTGCTGGTACCCCTCTCCTGCCCTCCTCTGTACATACATGTTTGAAAATATTTTTTTCTTTTCATCAGTCCGTAAGACCTATTGCCATTCAGTCCCGTTCTTGTATAAAATTTGGCATTGGTCAAAAACAGTAGCAAAATTTGTTCCCCATTTCTTTAGGACTTGACTTTCTGTCAATCTCCAGGCCTGCCACTCCCTCTGTTCTCCACTTGTCTAATATCCTCAAATGTTTCATGGACACATCACAAAGCATGCAGCTAGCAGCTCTTTGGGAATCACCCATTTTGTACAAAAATACTATTTCATGTTTCTGCAACAGGCTGCTAGTAATAAAGTGTGTAAAGATACAACTTAATTAGCCATGTAGCACTTATTCATAGGTCAGTGCTAAGGGGCTTAACAAAAACGCATTTCTGGAAAAACATTATGGTACAAGGACCAGACTGAAATAAAACCACGTGTGTGTATACTGATTACCTTTTATGTTATTTTTCGAACACCAATTCTCCAATTTTCTCATCAACATAGTCCACTCAGCATTTACATACCCACAACAATAGCAGTCAAACACAGCTGACTCCATCAAGATTCAGAATCTGCTTCTTTTAAATTAGCAATAAGCAACACCTCTCAAAGTCTAGGATATGACGATACTGGTAACAGCTTATATGGCTTTTTTTTAACCTGTATAGGAGCACTTGGGGCGGGTACAGGTACAGCTTGTGTCTCCTCAGGCTGCTGTTGCTCTGAACGGCCGTTGTGAGTGAGTTCCTCTGGGTGGTCGAGAGCCTTCCTCGTGCCACTCCACTCTAGAAAAGACAGCATTTTTTTTTTTTTAATTAAAACAATATCTCTGAGGAACAGCATGATTCCTTAACCCCTACAAAATCGTACTGTATGTGTATAATAACTTTCATGGGGATTGGTTCAGCTTATAGTGCTTTACAGTTGACAAGCCAATAATAAGGCAGAGCAAATGTAATAAAACTGGTAAAAGCAACATGAGGTACACAGAAGACAGAATAAAACAAGAACACTAAAAGTAATTTGATCTTTTAATTAAATAACAAAAATGAATTAAACTAAATAATTCAAAATAAAGTCTCTTCATTTTTTTTTTTTCCCTTTTTGTTTTTTTACCTGGTGATAAAGTGTCCACATCGAGCATTCCTCCTTCTTTAAGCTCCTCTAACTGGTCCTCTCTGACTTTAGACCAAGGTATGTAGGTGACACCCAGCTCCACATCCCAGTACTGCTTATAGTCAGCCTTTATGCCCTTGTTCAAAGCCCAAGCGATCTGATAAGTAAAAGCAACTTATTAGTTTTGCCCTTTCCTAACAAAACTAATACATGACAAAGCAACAATCAGTGTTGCTCATTCACCTTAATGGCTTTCTGGTTAACTTTGAATGTTCCCCTGCTGAGCTTCTGTAGAGCCCTGAAGGCATCTTGCCTATGTATCATAACAATATAAGCACAGCCACGTGGAGGGATCATCTTAAAGAGAGAAGACAACAAAAAAACGAGTGTTTAAAAACAAAAACAAGTCATACTCATCCACTTTATTAAGCCTGTAATTAGTGGGTTTGTTTTTTTTAAACATGTAGAGCCTTTGGTGCAAATTTGATGTCAGCATTTACTCCATTTTCATCACACTTATTAACACAAACTGTATCAAATACAAATAACAAAGTTGAGGCTTTGAGCTGTCTGTGTAACAAGTTCTATAAAAATCAAGAAAGTATATAAAGTCAAATTTACTACAAGCTGACTGAAAGATTTAATCAACAAAGTGTCGGTTGCAGGATGACCTCACAGTTAGATAAACTGAAAGCTGATCTCTGTGAGAGAACTTACATTGATGGACTCTATCTGCCCAAACTCCTCGAGTAAACAGGCGACATCTTGCTGCTGTGTTCTCTTGTCCAGCTGGCCTACCCAGAGAGTAGTGCTGCAAACTAAACAGGAGAAGAGAGCAAAGAGTTAGGAACTAAAGAATGTAACTGAAAGTCTTACGATAATAAACAGATGATGACTTACTGCTGACTGTCTCGCTCTTAATTGGTGGAAGACCTTTCTGCCGTCTCTCTCTCTCCTTCTCTCTCTCTCTGCGCTCCTGCGAGCGTGAGCGAGGTGAGTGATGACGCCGATCCCTGGAGCGTGAGCGGGATCGCCTGTGCCTGGATCGACGTGTACGAGAATTGGACCGTGATCTCCTTCGCTTTGGAGATCTGGGGAGCGGGGGGAGAAGACATTTCAACTCAAAGCATTATATTTAAAAAGTGTATACTAAGAAGATTATCTACTTATGGCAAAATAAACAGGAAATAAGATGTAACAGTGTGAACAAGGAAACCTAGTTTGAAAAATTACATCCCGTTTTAGATGTTTACCTGGAGCCTGAGTGTGATCTTCGGCCATGTCTGCCATCTCTCATGGATGAATGGTCCACATCCATTGGCAAATCCTGACACAGTATAGAGAAGATACATTATGAGTAAAATCTGTTACAGCGACACAACTACATCTCTGTGCAAGTCAAAGTTACAGAAGACCAAAAAACAAAACAATTTCAAAACATCAGAATTAAATTTTCTGACATTTTTCTCAATTTGCTACAATTTTATGCCCAACTACAATTTATTGTGACATCTTTATGCTACTGTTTGCCTACCTGTTGTTGCTGGGCTGCATTCTGGTGATGGTAAACCCCAGGGAAGCCTGGAGGCCCAGAAGAACCAGAGAGGGACATCCCTGACAGCATGTGGCCCATAGGAGGCATCGCAGCAGGAAAGCTCTGTCCTGGTGGTAAACCGTGGACCTGGAGCTGCCCATTAGGAGGAAGAGGAACCTGAGGGGAAGAAAAACATATAACACGATCCCTCAAATCAGTTTCTCAGTAACAAACTCAGTTCTCCGTTTTATTTCAGATAGAGAGCATATACTGTAAACAGTTGTATCTGCATATATAATAAGCCGTAATATTATGTAATCCTATTGTTAAATGAAGCTACAAAATGAGATGTTAAGATTTGTCAATGAAGAAGAAGCTCTTTTTCATTTAAAAGTCTTGTTCTTTTTACCTGCTGTGAGATGTCCTGTGGTATATTAATCTGTGGTTTAAAGTGATCCATGTGCTGTGGAAAGGCTGGAGGCTGCTGCATACTGCGATGATAAAAAATACACTATCAGCTCCACAGCTTTTATTTTGTTAAAAAAATACATTTTCATCAAAGCTTTCTGGTATCACAGACTGCAGCATATAAAATAAATTAAGAAGCTTACAAGGGGGGCTGAGAGGAGATTTCATCCTTCTTTGTTTCTTCTCCAACTTCTGGTTCATCATCATAATCAAAACGGTCCAGCAATTTCTGCGAGAGAAACACAAAAATAACGATGTTTTCTTCATGTGGCAACGCTTCTTCAGCCTTAATTTTCCTTTACTGTGCTATGCCATGTGATACCCTTCAGCCTTCTAAAATAAAATAAAATAAAATAAAATAAAATAAAGAACATCATGCAAATACAAGAATGCATTGTCACCTTGTCAAAGGCCGTCTTCTGCTGGGCAGGCTGGGTTAGTTGGGCGGGCTGGGAGGGAAGGGGAGGTTGTGGCGTGACCATGCCCAGTCCAGCAGAAACATTTGGGGCCTGTGGTTGAATAATCTGCGGTGGAGGCTGGGTGTTGGTCTCTGGCTTCACTGGCTGCTGCTGAAAGTTCTGCAGCATCTGTTGGAGCTAGATGCCCAAAACAGAGTGAAAGAAGAGTCAGTAATAAAGATGTGAAAGATGCTTAAGAAGTAACAAAAATACAAGAAAGTGAATAAGGCAACAATCTAATGCCAGTCCGCATTAGTATGAACATACCTGCTGACCCTGTGAGGACTGGAAGAGCTGTGCCACGGCAGCAAAGGCATCAGAGTTGTGCAGCTGAGCAGCAGGTATCATGGTGGAGTTTGCCGTTACCACTGTAACTGGCTCTTTGGCTGGAGGTGGAGGAGAACCTGCCAGAAGAGAGAACGTTTGTTTTCAAATGCCAACATCATACATCAACATATTAATATTATATTAATAAAGCAATGCACAACCTCAAAAATTACCTGGCTCATCTGCGCCTGTGTTGGGTGCAGCACCACTGCCAGAGCCAGCTGCCATGTCCAAGAGGGGCTGAATAACTTCAATCTTGAACACCCCATTCTTCTGCCACAGGTTCAACACCCGCACAATTTTACTCTGTAAATGAAAATATTTAGCACAGGACATTTATCATTACAATGGAGCGCTACCTATGAACAGATTTAACTTGGGCAGGCAGGTAATCCAAATATACTAACAACCCCCCCCCCCCACACACACACCACCACCACACTATAACTGGCAACTCATTTTATTATTAACATCTTTAGTCTTTTATCCTGCCAAGAGAACAATCACATCTCAAGATCAGTTATAGATTGAAGAAAAGAAAAAAAAGGGCTTTCTAAGTCACAACTGTGGTAGTTCTAGTCATCATGGACAGGAAGTTATACAGCCCTTTTCCACTTTAAGTACTCAGAGTGGCTCTCGACTAGAAGCCACAATCATGCAATGCTTTAAATGCTTTCTATCTATCACACACAATCACAGTCTGATGGATATGTTACAGGCAATTTGGGGTTCGGTATCTTGCCCAAGGATGCTTCGACATATGAAGTGAAGGAGCTGTGGGTCAAACCATCAACCCTGGGATTGACGATAGACTCACACCATCATCATTCACTTGCCTCCTGGGCAAACTCCAGCTCTTATATCTCTAGCTGGGGACAGGAGTCCTTAAACCAGAACCTGCAGCAGGGGTAGAACTGGTTGATATGCTGCAATGCCAAGCTCACTGGGACTACTGCACAGGAGTAGTGTATACTGAATAATTTGTTTGGGAAAGTGTGCATATGCTACCAGTTTTTTTGCTCCTGCACACGCGCCCATATGCCTGCCCCACCCACCACAAGGAGAACGTAAATCTGTGGGAAACATTGAGATGCGGCAAATACTCGGGTTAATTTGCAGTGCAATTAAATTGTCACCAGGTCTCTTCTCTTACCCTGTCTTCCACGGGGCAAAGGCAGAGGTTCTCAAAAGTTCCTGTAATGTTTTTGGTGAACCTTGGTCCAAACACATCCTTGTCAGGTCCAAACTGGTGTCTGGACTGCCTAACAATGGAATCCACCACATATAAGCCTGCTACCTTATACTCAGGCTTACACTGGAGGGAAAAGAGAAAGAAAACAGCAGAGTTCATTGGTATTTAGTGAAGAGACACAATCTGCAAACTTTAATGAAAACAGACTCGGCTCACCTTTTTTATAAACTTTTCCACAATCTGGACCACATGTTTGTAAAGCTGAGGAAGAGAGGAGCAAATGAGCATGCCGTTATATTATAGACCCCAAACATAACAAATTAAATAAATATACAAGAATCATTCTAATGTCGTATTCTTACTTTCATTGCTTTGATGGCAGATTTGGTGATGGAGATCATCTTTGCCCGAGATATTGGGGGTTTGGAGTCCATCAATGAGAATAACTAGACAGAGAAGATAATCATTCTGTGAGATGGAGAGTCATGACGCTGGAGGAGTGTCCAGGGTGGTGCTGATCACTTCTATTTCATCACTACTCCTCATCCCATATCAAACAGCCACATTTGGGTCTTTACTGCATTCACGTTATAATTGCATTAAATGATAGATGCAGACCAGGTGGTATCCAAGCAATGAATATCCCAGTTTATACGGGCTCATAAAGATTAATGAGGATCTTTTTTAACCCATCTGCTGTAACTGTTGATCGATGCTACAGCATGGCTCAGGGTAACTTGAGTTTATTTAGTCATACTGAAAAAGGAAACCGCATAAATAAATGGGTACGGTGAATTCACAAAACACCAGGACCACTATGATGAAAATGAATGGGCAAAAATCAGGCATATTTCCATTTTGTTTTCATAAATAAAAACACTTCAAAGAATCATGCAGTATTGTATTTCCCACTATAATTCACATCAAAACAAAATTTCAGCTGTTCCTCAACTCTGCCAAGGTGCAGTTGGCCTTTTTGAATGGTTTGCAACATAACTCACATTAGCTACAACATACAGCTTTGTGACAGTGTGTGCTTTTTAGCATGCGAAATGTTTATTCAGAATAAAATAGACAAGATGGAGAGGATCTGGAGAAAATGTAATTTAGACATCTATACACCTTTGACAACAAGGTTAAGATTGTATTCGAATATGAGTCACACGTGTGTGCGTATCTATATGTATCAAATAGTGATGTGCATTCATTGTCAGCCACTACTTTCTCTGCTTGGGTGTGAGACAGAAACTGCAATTGAAACTGGACGATATCGCTCAAGAAGAACATGATCTGAACAAGCGTGTTAAGATGCGACAAGAAATGTCTTTCTGCCCCTCAGTCTCTGTGGTGAGTCAAATTCGCGGGTGCAGGCAGAAACACCAAAACATGGCTTGACTAGTGTTTTGACTGGACTCCTAACAGCATCAACCGCCTTTAGTCAGGCCTTGTAGTAACTTGGCCTAGCATCTTGTTACCGAGCACTGGTTTTAACATTAACGAGGCTGTAATGAACATTCAGTCTGTTTGTGTACAGTATGGTAACAAGCTATTGCTATACTGATCTTTCTACCTGTGGTTGCGCGTTCTCATTTGCATTGTGTTGGTAACCACAACTTACTCCCACAAGCTAGCAAAGCGGCAGTCACTGGAAACGCTACTGACTGGATATTACTGTGTAAGCTTAGTGGGTGGCCGAAAATCCAACTATTCCTTTCAGTGGCATTCGTTTACTTCAGGGGTGCCAAACAAGCGCAACACTTAAGCCGAATAAGATGTCCAGTTAACTCACCGAGCAGGCCCACTGCTTCGACCAGCTAGGCTAACTCCAGTGCAACAGCAGCAGCTCCATGATCAGCAGCACCACACTAGGGGAGTTCAGACACTCAGCGAAGGCCACTTACCTCGTGGTTAAAGGCGTTGACGGCATCCATGATTGCCAGACGCTCCGAGCCTTCCCTTAAATTCCCGGTTCCCCGCTTACAGCGATGTTTATTAAAGAAAGGGTCGGTACAACATGTCCGCTCCCGGTAGCTAACGCCTGTTAGCTTCGCATTGGAGGTGTTCGGGTCGGCGGGTACGGCAAAGCATGATGGGATTCAATGTTGTTCTTCTAAGTTTTGTCCACAAGGGGGCAGCATGTTGCGTGGACAGTGTACATAGTGCCCTTTGAAGGAGACAAGCTATCGACACAAACGTTTGTTTTGACTGGGTTGGGCAATGGATTTTCCCAAGTGGCCTTATGAGAAACTGGGATTGTTGTGGAGGGCCCAATCAATAAGCTGGACTTAGTTCTGGTCAACATTAGTTCTTTTTTAAAATCTGTTTATAACTACATTGGTGCTCTCGTGGCCCCTTGCGAAGGTTTGACCACTGTCATCTTTACTGCACTCCAAGCAGACTATAGAATCAAATCAAAAATGGCAGGTGTGCTTTGCTGTCATAATTTTGCAATAAAAGATTTTTTGCACTGATTACTCCTTAAATGTCTTATTCTACGATGATATACTAAAATTGTACTTCAATATATCTATATCTATATATCTATATCTATATATTTATCTATATTTGTGTCTTTTTTAAACACAGTCATTACTCACAGTGGAGGCTTGAAGAATGGGTTATATCTCCAAAATCTGTCCACTGATGATCCACTGATGATGTTCCATTTAATGAGATGTGCCTGAAAGTGTGGTTTTGTGGCGATGTCCTTCCCTGTGCATAAAAGCATTAACTACAAACTCCAGTTACTAAATAAAATGCCTTTTTCAAGAAAAACAGATTTGTTTGAACCATGTTTCAGTCAACATGACTGAAGAATAGAAGGAATGTGACAGAGATTCCGCAAAATGTTACATTTCTATGAAGTCCTTGTTCACAACATAATGTTTCAAGCCAAAAAAATCAAAACAAAAACACTTACACTTACAAAACTTTAGGCAAGCTTTGAGCAGAGTGGTGGTAGCACCATTGTTTGCTTAACTACCTAAGGACCTGGACACTCGGCAGTCACTGAAGAAACAACGCATCAGTCTGAAGTCAAAGTAAACTTTATTGTCATCACTAATGTAAACACAGTGTGCAGATATGAGACGACATGGCTTCAGCTACTGCAGCCATCCTGATGTTTAAAAGAGGCTAACGAATCAAGACAATGACCCCAAGTGCAAATCAACAACAGAATGGTTGAAAAAGAGGAAAAATTATGTTTCTAATGGCCAAGTCAGAGTGCTGAACTTCCACTCACCTAAAATGCTGTAGCTTGATGCATGTACAATCAAAACATTAAGGAAATTTAATAATCTGAAAGGCTTTGTGGGGAGGAACAGTCCAAATCCTCTCTACTGTTGTGGAAATCTTATAAGCAGCAAAAAGAAAAGTCAGATTGCTTACTGCTGTCAAAAAAATTCATTTACTTTTACCAGCCTGCTTTATGTGTGATTTTGTGTCATTAATCAGATAACATTTGTTTGTTTCAAATAACTCAGATCACTGTCTGATCACTGAGGGTTTGGATTCCATTAATGACAGACAGACTAGTAATGATCACACCACAAATCAGTAAATAAAATAGTTCCATGAAGCATCTGTGATATCATATCACTGAGAAAACACCAGAGGTGTTTCAGCAGAGAGCAATATCAACCCCCCACCCCCAGAGTCCAAACCACACTTATTTAACAAAATTAGCTGCAATGAATCATATTAAAATAATCAAACTATTAAATATTTTGTTAACTTTCATCTGTTCGCTTTGTGAAACATTCTAAAATAAAGCATGACATTTAAACAAGTAATGTAAGACATCAGACTTAAAATCTGACCACTGATGACCACCTTAACCCTAGAAGTACTTCCAAGTCTCAGTGTGTTATTTCAAAATAAATCTGTTTTGTGCAGAGTAACAAAAATTTAATACCTGTCACTACTTGTGCAGACAAAAAAACTGACCCGATGATCTCATTAAAATTCTGCGGTCTTATTACTTTTAATGTATAGGATGTAGTGCTTGAGCTTGTAGTATAGAAATCTTCCAATAGATGGTGCACTCGTGCTATCACTTCTTTGCCCCAATGTCTGGTTTAGTGTCTAGAAAGCATGGTCCAGTTGGCACTGTATATGCATATCTAGATATACTCCTCTCACTCCTTCTATGCGAGTGAAATGAGGAAAACAAAACACAGCAGAAACAGAGAAGTAACCCAAACTAAACCCGTATAAGAAGCTAAACTGACACCTTCTCACACAAACTCAAAACATATGCTTCATGCTGGCAGGATTTTTTTTAAATATAAACTGAAAGGGACTATTTAACAATTTTGATTAGATAAATTTCCTTGTCAGGTGTTTTAAATATATATATATATAAATTATTATTATTATTATTATTTTATTTTATTCAGGGCTTGCAAGTTTACCGAGTAGGAAAACATACACTAGGTCAGGCAAACCTGAGCCGAAGACAAACGGAGTAGGAAAATCTCGCCCCTCCCTGCAGGTGTCCTCCTTTGAGTGATGAACACCAGCGTTAATTAGGCCAGAGACTACACCTCAGCCACCGAGGAGGAAAATTGTTCTTTGTCTGACTCTGGTTTACTGGAGTACAACTTTCTATTTTTGGCAGAACTCCGGGTTCAACCACAAGAGAGGAGAGAGAAAAATCCTCGAATATATGCTAGCTGGTCAGAGACATTGTTTAAACTGGATGATTTATTGCCAGTGGCATATGTGTCATTGTATATGTGCCACTGCAGCTAACTAAAGCGAATCCTCTTGGCGCACAGGCATGGGTGTGTTGGTTTAGAAGGCTACTTTACGCACAATTGTGCCTAAATTAATCACTCAGAAATAAAAGAGGACTAAAAGAAATATATAAATATGTATAGTTATTCTGTTGCTGTCTCCCTCTCCTGACTACACGTGTATTCTTGTTCACACCTACAATCCGAGCGCACCACCAAGCGCATGCAGCAAAACGGCGAGGCGGTGGTACCGGGTGGAGCTGTACCCGTGCTCCGCCCACCTTCGCTGATTGGGTTGAAAATTACCCCGGCTACCAACAACATGTGCATTTTTTTCTTACCCTCTCGCACTAAGCAACGCCCACACGGAGGACCGGGAAAGTCGCTTCAAACTGCAAAACACGCTGCTTGTTCTCAGACTAATCAGGAGACGAACGTGTTTGGAGAAGAGAGGCAGAGCACACCTTCATTAGAGCCGATGCTTGTTGTTATGCTTTTTTTAAAAACCCACCTAGGTATTAAAATAGATCGTGGCAGTCAGGTTACTAACTTAAGTCACTGAGTCTGTTCCCCCCTTTTTTCTACCGTTTTTTTTTTTAATCTAAACTAATTCATTAACTTCACAGTGGTCTCGGAAACTGCTGAGTGAGCTCACTTGGTGCTTTGGGTGAACAGGTGGCGCAAGCTCCGGTACTCGTAATTTGTTATTACGCAGATAACGGAGTTAAGATACTTTACCGGACGTTAAGCATTTAATACCTGCATTGAAAGTGGGTGTAATTCGGACTGCGTATTATCCTCCCTTGTTAAAAGGGGACACTTGACAAGGGAGCTGTGATGCCTGTTGCAGACAGCGACATGGTAGTGGACAACGGGCACGGGTTATACGAGGGTAAAATTCCAAACAGTGCCGGGAATGAGAGTATCCTCCCGGCCTCCCTATGCAGTCCTGTAACGGACATCCTCAAGAACTTTTACCACACCAAACGGGTCGGGAACTACATGATCGGGAGGAAGCTGGGAGAAGGATCGTTCGCCAAAGTTAGAGAAGGTCTCCATGCGTTAACAGGAGAAAAGGTAAGCGGACCGCAACAGACTGTATATATACTGTACACACACACACATATATATATATATATATATATATATGTGTGTGTGTGTGTGTGTGTGTGTGTCATAGATGTCATATATTTTATTTTTTTAATCTATTTTGTGATGTCATGACATGTCATCTGGAATTAACAGTTAGCTTGACTCTTATAGTTCATTGCCTTTTTGTCATTTTAATGAATTTTCTTTTAAATTTTGACTGTGCCTCACCATTTATTGCGTCTGTAGTGGTTTTAAATTACATTTCAATGGACAGAATCAGATGCCATGCGTGCTTGGCAACGCATTCCTTTCGGCTGCATGTGAACAGTGGAAAAGTTGTTTATATTGCGATGCAATGCGCCAATCCAGGACTTCCTAATTAGTGGTTCTCTCCTCAGAGAAAGTGATCAGCTCTTCTGATTGCGCTGCGCCTTTGTTAATTAGCGCATGCGGCGTCCCACCAGCAGCTGCTGAATGCCGAGTATAGGTTGTGCACAGCAGGAGCTCCTCTAGTGACAATATTTGCTAATTGTGCGTGAGAGAGACACAGTTATCTATGGGTGTTTGTCTCTTCTCCAACCCTGCGGATAACGCGTCGATCGCCCTGCGTTTCTGAACCTATGCTTTGTTTGCTGCTGCTGGTGATCTCACCGTATCCCCGCGGTGGGCGCGCTAGAGTGTGACAGGACCAGAGAAGAAAACTGCCGGGCCTATAAGAGAGCAGAGCTGCTACTTGAATATGAAATCTTGTCGTTGATAAATGGGCTTCAACCTCATTATGATTCCGCCATCGCAGGGGGGGTTTGATACGGGCTACCATTGGCCACTGGTTGCCTTTGTCTCTTCAGGCTTTTTTGAGAAGGAGCCAAAAAATTTGCATATTAGAAAAACAAGTACGTCTCCTTTTTTTTCTTTCTTTCTTTTTTACTGTTCGCTCCTGCATTAAATGCATACCATTTCTATAGGTAATGCACAGGCTATAATTTGTCACTGAAAATTCCTAAATTTGCATATTAAAAATATTTCGGATCACACCCAGCTCCTCCCTTGCTGTAAAGCAAATGTTCCTCTCACCCACCCACTCACACTGTCTTTGTTGAGGATGATGCAAACGCTGGCAATCGCACATCCAAACACTCTCCCTCACTCATTTGAATGCAGGCGTCCAACAGGCGCTTGCGGGGTACAGGAGGGTAGTGAGTTTATTCAAGTACATGGGGGTGAAAAGGAAATGCATGAGGATTCCCAGATCCCCCCACCCCCACTTTTGTTTGTTTTACATTACTAGAAAGTCAAAGTAAATGCATGGAATTTAAAAAGCAGAAAAGGGGTATGGGGGTGAGAAGAGGCGAGAGATGGGGCTGTCATGGGCAGGCAGCTCAGGAGGTCATATGTGTGGGGTTCTTTTTAATGTCTGTAACCCATTTCCCCGCTCTACCCCCCCCCCCCTCCCCACACACACACACTACACACACACACACACACCACCCCCTTTCTGTCTGAGGGGCGCCTGATGATAAACAACCGAATCCCTCAAAACCCCCCAGGCAAGAGTCACACCCTCCCCCTCTATATCCCACCCCCTCCTCATATAGAGTAGCCAACTGTAAATACAGTGCCCACCCCACCCCATACATACCCTGCACTCCTTATTAGGAGTGTGTAAACACAGGCCATCTATTATCGTGACAGAACACTGCACACACACACATGCATGCACATACAGGCAGGTTTAATTAGCAGTTGTAAAAAGGTTTTCAGCACTGAATCAATTACCAGTCCTGAAAGGATGAAAGTAAAAATGAAAGACAAGCTGAAGGTCAGAAGAAAGAAAAAACACACACATATGAAAAGAAACAAACTAGCAATCAGACATTATCTCCACTTGTGGAACCACTCACCAACTTTCATGTGATACTGATAATGGTGGATATTAGAGTGCCTTACCTTGTGCTATAGCGCTTTCCATCGTCTGTGGGACTCGTCCCTTGCTGTGAGATGAGTTTGTTTTGTGCGTGGGTGAGCCATGCTCTTGAACTCTAGTCTGTAGTTACCGAGAACGAACTACAAGGGAAGACATGGATGATGAAAACGTAGCAGTCACGTGGGATAGGAAGATTGATAGTTTATTGAATGTAAATTATCAATAAAAGAATTCTTGACAAATGAGAGAGTCATTGGAAGTTAAAGGACATTGATCTGGCGCCTGGGATGCGTTCGTGATGGAGACTGGTCTCGTGCGGCTTTTCCATGTTCTGTAATACTCAGTGTCTCAGCTTCTTGTGTGTTTGGCTGCAACTAAACCTCGACAAATGAGGGAGAATGTTAACTGTCCATTTGGCCTTGGTGCCTTCTCAGCATATAGGGTAACATATCCCAGTTTATGATGGTTCATTAACCCCTCCATGTCCACACACAACACACAGCCACCAGCACACATCCCAATTTACCTACACACACACACACACTTCCCCCTCAGCTGCAGGGCCTTGTGGCTCCCCCACTAGTAACAGCTGTGAGGGAGAGGTCAGTTTTGAGTTACATACTCCGAGCAGCTCTTCACCTGTTACGCCTAGGCGCTCTGAAATCAGCACTGTGCTCCCTTCTCCATGGATATTATTCACAATATTGCATGCTGCACAGTTTACAAGGCCAACAATCGCTGTTAACTTAGTACTTTGTAAAATATAAATATAACCTCACCCTCCTCTCTCCTCCTGCATTTTCTTTTTCAGGTGGCGGTGAAGGTGATCGACAAGAGGAAGGCCAAGAAGGACTCATATGTTACCAAGAACCTTCGGAGAGAAGGTCACATCCAGCAGATGATCCGCCACCCCAACATCACTCAGCTGCTGGACATCTTGGAGACAGAGAACAGCTACTACCTGGTGATGGAGCTTTGTCCCGGTGGGAACCTCATGAACCACATCTACGACAAGAAACGCCTGGATGAGAGAGAGACGCAGAAGTACATCCGGCAGTTGGTGCTGGCTGTGGAGCACCTGCACAGGGCTGGTGTGGTTCACAGGTAACAAAACCAAAAACCCCAAAAACATTAGTATATAAGCATATAATTACTGTGCCATTCGATGTGGGTCAAAGTTAACTTTAAGACTTCTGGGTCAGACATGATCCTCTTTCCCAAAGTGTGGGTTAAGTCTTTCTTATGCACATGACTATTAATCCATGAAAGCAGATCTGTCTTCACAATAACTACATTGTAATAATTTAATGTTTTCCATTTAGGTGTGAAGAGCAAAAACATTACAGAAATGCAGTCACAGTATTGTTAATTCTAGGGTTTTGTCAAACATTTTATCAAAATCTATGTAAGATTTATGGAAAAAACATGCACTGTTTCTGCATATGTTTCCCAAGGCTCTTGTGAGGAATAGTTTTTGTTATTTAGAGCCTGGGAACTGAATTTCTATCACAGTGAGATGGCCTCTGTGGATAACAGGATTTCTGCTACTGAGGAGGGATCTGAAGATACACAATAGACTATGAAAATTAAGCAGCATGACTCAAATTAGGAGGGGTTATGTCACGGTTCAAGAAGCGGGGGGTAGATTGTGTGATACTAAAGGTTATCTAATCATCTAATATAAGGTTATCTAATATAAACATGGACCTTTGTTTTACAGGGACCTCAAAATAGAAAACCTCCTACTGGATGAGCAGGACAACATAAAGCTTATAGGTAAGCCCCGATGCTCTCAGTGTTTTTTATGTGCACAAAACATTATACAGAAATTCTGTACATGTTTTCAGACATAAAAGAATCCACATGGAAAAGAGTAATGTTCCCTAAGCTCTCACCTAAGTGCTAACACCCCTGTGTTTCTTTAATGGGCAAGTTAAAATAATAAACCCACTCTCCCCACCACTCCTTTCCCTCAGATTTTGGCCTAAGTAATTGTGCTGGCATCTTGGGATACTCTGATCCCTTCAGCACCCAGTGTGGAAGTCCAGCTTACGCCGCCCCTGAGCTACTCTCTAGGAAAAAGTATGGACCAAAAGTGGATGTCTGGTCCATGTGAGTTTAAAGTTGTTTTAAGACATTTGATAATAAACATCAGTTTTATTTAATGAGTGCACAGAGAGCTGAAGTGTGTATTTGGGTCTTCCAGTGGTGTTAACATGTACGCAATGTTGACTGGGACACTCCCGTTCACCGTGGAGCCGTTCAGTCTTCGGGCGCTGCACCAGAAGATGGTGGACAAGGAGATGAACCCGCTACCTCCCACGCTGTCAACAGGTAAGGAATGAAAACACGACGGCACAAACCTGCTGTGTGCAGATAAAACGTAAAAGTGGAGGGTGAAGGAAATCTGACTGGTTGGCCTTCAGAATTTCGAAAAATGATTTTAAAAGCTGCTTACTTAAAGCTAGAAGCAAAAGGATAAATAACTTGAGGCTTAGTGCCTTTGACATATTTAAGATTCTTTATGACATCTTATTTTAAACCCTTCAAAAAGAAGTTTTGTTTTCATATATTCTGCTTAAATGCAGTTAAAAATCGAAAAGCAAAAAAGCAGAAAAACAGGTGACGGGCGGAGGGATGTACATTCGTGCACATCATTGCACAAGACAGCAAGAAGTTCTCGGTGATTTCACTAGTAACCTTTCCATCAGAGGCGAAAACATGATAACCTTTTGTGCCTCTTTATCAGGGATTAGGTGGCTCTTCCAGTGAAGACCCTGGCACAGATTCAGATTTTTTCTACAGTTTTTTCTTTTTGTTTCTTAAAACAAATGATTCACTTCCTGAGAGGTTTGGTCAATGTTTTTGTAGACTTTAGGAAACTAAAATTGTTCATAGGCTTGACTTTGCCTTAGAGTCACTAAATATAGTGTAAATGTCCTACACATATATTTAGATATAATTACACAGATAAATTCAAAGGTAGTTCCTCAGAAGCTTGCGTGTGTTGTGGAAAGGGTGTGCATAGGTATGACGGTGTCAAATTCATTTCACAATCTCTGCACTCGTTCTGCAGTCACTCCTTCACGGCACGTCAGAACAGTCGTTTGCATTTCGCTTATATGCAAACTAAGGGGCGATACCATAACTCACTTTTATAAGCACCTATTATACTATAACGACATGCATCTGACTTCGCAACTGGGTTCGTTACGAAACAATTTACTTAATAATGATAACTTTATCAGTTTCATCTATTTTGTTGTTGCATAAGCAGTTTCACTTTGCAGCGTTGGTAATTCAAAAGAATCTTGAACCTTAAGGATGTGGAGGAAGAGAGCCAAGTTTGTGGCCTGGGAATAATCACAATGATAACACAACATGATTCTAAAACTTGTCGTAACATGTTTCAGCACCGAGAAAGCTGCTCCTGTTTTACGTGTTGATGAGCGTGCAGAAAGAATAACAATACAAATTTTGATTTTTCTCGTTTCTCAGCTGCCATCTGTCTTCTGAAGAAGCTACTTGAGCCAGACCCCAACAAGCGTCCCAATATCCACCAGGTGATGGCTGACTCCTGGCTTCAGCTGGCCAATAAGAACACAGGGGCACCATACCTCAACAGGTAGATGTACACAGATTTAAATTGCTCTGAGTTTGTGTTTGTTGTAGTTTGCATTTAAAAGCTTAATTTGTCAAGCATTGTTAAATATATATATATATATTTTTTTGCGTTAAGGATCCACATTGAAGAAATCAACCACACAGTGTTGCTGCATATGACGGAGAAGATGGGCTACAAGCACAGTGAAGTTCTGAGCGCCGTCCTCACCAATCGCGCCTGCCACACTTTGGCGGTCTACTTCCTCCTCAACAAGAAAATGAAGAGACTCTCCAAAGAATACAGGGTATGTATATTCATATACTTTCCGGTTTGACGTCAGTGAGTAAAGTGAGTTTAGTGAGAAAAAAATATTTTAGTCACTTGCACATCCTTTTCCCAAGGAGTTTGTCATAGTAATATTTCAAAAGGACCAGGAGTGTTTTTCACACCAATAAACTGTTGTGACGGGATGACGCAAAGCATTTAGTCATCAACAACAAATGTTGCTTGTGTGTGTGTTAAGGAGATGCAGTTCCAAGAGAAAAAGAGAGGCGAAAAGCAGAAAAACGAATACTTCCAGACCCAGTGGAGGAAGCACGTCGATAAGCTGACCATACCCCCGAAACAGACGCCCGTCTACCTGGCTGTCAGCAAGGGGCCCAGCAAGGAGAAGAAGCACAGAACAGGTGAGGATTTGCACAGTTGAGTGCAAAAATAATGAAAACAACAATTAGGAAGCAGTTGTTTTTTTTATGTTCACTTTATTTATTGTATCTATTTTATTTACTTTCATTCATACAGGGTAGGTTGACTGAGAATGCATGTTCTTGTACAGCGACCTGTTTCACACACACGTAGTTACCCAGTCATCCATCCATCCATCCCACCATCCATCCATCCACTGTTTGTCTGTTCGTCCATCCATCTAACCACCCACTCATCCATCTGAGAGGAAACATCCAGGACAACTTGCCAGTCACTCGTGGGGCAAACACAAACACTAAAATCCTAATCAAAAATTACTTAAGAGAGCATAGTGCAGAAGTAAGTTCATGATATAGAAATAACTGAACTGACTCAAGCTTGCAAGAGAGAGTTTAGCACACACCTAAACTCCCTTCTCACTTACCTTTAAGTGGTATTGAGAAATTACAAATTTGTCTTCTGTACCTTTGGCTTTACGTCTGCTGTCAGATCATTGTGTCTGTCAGGATCTTGTTAATGGCATACAGACAATGGCTACTCAGGCAGAGGTTTAAGAAAAGATGGGGTTCTCACTTTTTTAATGAATTTATTTTCATTTTCATTAAATATTACAGTAAAAACAATGTTTCACAAAAGCTAAAGTGTTTCTAATTTCATCCTCAGGTTTACTGCGTGCCATAACTGGTGGGCATCGTAATTCACCTCTGGCACCTCCGGGCACAGTTGCTTCTTCCTCCATGGAGTACCTAGAGATCCACCCTCTATTCCCCAACACGCCACAGCAACGGAGGCGCCTGGCCACCCTTCCGCAAGTCAACACGAGCCCAGAACACAACATTCCCGCTCCTCCCGCGCCGTCGCCAATTGGCATGCATTCCTTCGGCTCGCTCGCCAAAGCTGAACAAATCGAAGACACCCCATCTTCGCCCTGGTACAAGCTGACTAACGGGACCCTGTCCCCTCCCCGCCACGTCTCCGCCTTCCAGCCTGACTCCTCTTACTTGAAAAAAGCCACAATCCCCAGTCCGCCCGTCCTCATTGTCAATCCACAGCCCAAGAAGAGCACCTCGACAGATTGGTGTGGTTCTTCTGACACTAGTGGTAGCCCTCCCAGCACTATAGGAAGTCCCCCAGGGAGCTCAGCTTTTAGCCCTCCAAAGTCTGCTTTCAGTCCCCTCAATCCTACCTCAGCTTTTAGTCCTCCTTCCAGCAGCGGTAGCAGCGATCCCGAGAGCCCAACGCATCGCAGCAAATTCCCCTCAATGGGAATCGGACAGATCCTAAAGAAGAAGGTCCAGCTGCAGCCATTTACATTTCGTCCAGAACAAGTCATCGAGGAAGTCGTGTCCCCTCCTCCCTACCCCATGCAGACTCTCCTCTGTGCTTCAGGTGCACTAAAGACCCTCTGCTGAGTTATAAGATGATTTAAAAAAAAAAAAAAAAAAAGTTGGACTGAACTCGATGCCCCTTTCAACATTTTTATGTTGGGAGAGGTCTTCCAGAGCGGCCTTTTGAACTGTGAACTGTCCCTTTATTGCGACTGAGCCACTTTTCATGACAGACTTATTTAAAAAAAAAAGGTGGTGAGAATATAAAATGTATTACCTCTTGTTACCACACGTATTATGTAATGTGAGAAGTGACACTGAGGAGATAAGATCTGAACGGATCCATGAGCAATGACTAAATCTCTCTGTGTCCTAAATACGGAATGGACATGGGACATTGTGTAATATGAGCCTTGCCAATAACAATTGTACACAGACACAAGCACACACACACGAGTACACACTGAACGATGTATTATAGACCAACTTAGAGATACTCTCTTATGTAACATTGGTGTAACTGGTTACTAATTGAGCCGCAAACTGATTCACACCAGCTAACAGACCCCAACTTTTACCCTAACCCTGATTTTACATGTATAAATGTTTTGTCTCTGTGAAAACTCTGTATAATAGCCACTGACATCCAGTCAGCCGGCACTATGTCCTATGCTGACCGGATGAAGAAGCTCACTGCACTATTCTTGAAAACCAAAACGTATACTTAGAACGGTGTTTAACATCTTTTACCTCACTGCATTTATTCATGCATTAAATGTGGAACAGCAGTCGGCTGTGACATGCTTGTGTGGATCGTGTCACAGTGTAGCAGTGTGTAAGTGTTGCCATTAGAATCAACACACTAAAATAGCCGTAGGTTGCAAGAGCAGAAGCATATTCTCACTTTTATATAAACGTCCTCATAAACCTTCACTCAGCACTGAACTTTTTTATCCACAAGTGTTGCTTCACCTCTAAGACCCACAGGGAATCTGTAAAAGTCTTGACTTTCTCACAGCAGGATATGCCTGTTCCTAGTCAGTTTGTAATAAAAAAATAAATAAAAGAAAAAAGAATAGAGCATCAAAAGCCTTATGAAACAGATCAACCTCACCACAGGTTGAGTGTATGAAAGTGGAAAGAACTGCTACTAGGATCATCTGCGGAAATAATTCACTTCCTTTTGTCTTAACGCTGTAGTTTGTGCAATAGTCTTAAGTGTTAACTGCAATGATGAGTATTTGCCAAGAGCTCTGAGACATGTGAAAAATGTTCCTGTAAATAACAGTGCAGCTCCTGTGTTCCTGTTGCTTACTCCGTTCTGTATGAACAGAAGTTTAAGACGTTTATCTGAGCCGACACTGTCACAAATTAGTTGCCTGTACAAAACAAAGGGGGAAAAAACGAACAAAAAAAAAAAAGGCTTCCACGGGCACACGAGGCTTCTCACTGTTAAAATACTGTAGAATCTCTTCATGTCCAAATGAAAAGTTGCATGAGTCAAACTTGTGTTGTCAGCATTTGAAATTATGTCTTTGTACCTTTTTTCTGGTTGATACTGAGATTGATACGGACTTGGGTGGGGGGTGTCTTTTTTTAAGATTTTGTAAAGGATGGTTTTGTTTGAGTGTCAAGAGATTTCTATGCTGTATAAAGTATTTTAAATATTTATAAGGAATCCTTTATGTGTCTGTCTAGTTCTTTAAACGCACCTGCATGCTGTCTGGCTTCATTCTTGCACGTCACATGTTCACATGGCTCATCTGAGACTTATTGAAAATATGCAAACTTTTAATTATGATCATTAAGTAATAATATGGTACTCAACAGAATCCAATATTCTTGCTAATTTATGTACACTTTACCTAAAGTCTGACATCTATACTTCATCCTTAAAGCTCTCATCTCCTGGAGGACTTGATGACGATGTGTGAAAGGATTTATGTTACTGAATGTGCCACTTGTCTCACATACCATATGCATTTCCCATGAAACACCTATGAGAGGTTAAAAAAAAAGCATGACACTCCCATGCAACAGCTGAATGATCCTTGGTTTGGCTACATGCACACACACACACACACACACACACACACTCACACATACACTACAAGCCCTTCCTTCTCACGAACACATACGTTATAGACACTAATCTACTCAGCTGTGCCTCCCTAAACCTCTCTGGGTGACGCTGCCCTGTCGAGACACAGAAGGGGGATCACCAGAGCTTTGAGACAAACAAGCACATGCACAGGACACCACAAACAGGGCTGTCCGATTAAATCAGCGTGGCTAAGCTGATAAAAGCAGAGGGGCAAGAGGAGCCCTCAAATATGTTAAAGCCAGAGCCTTTTGTTTATCGACGACAGGCCAACGGTTACTCAAAATCCCTGGTTGATCTGGTGACATAAACAAGCTCTGACCAGGAATACTACGCATGAAGGATATTACTGCACACAGACAGATAATATCATGAAATATAGTTCAGTGTTGCTGCGGTAATTGTGTAATTTCCCATTAACTGATAAAGTCAAGGACCCAAAAAGGCTTTTGACTAAACACGTATTGTTTCCAGAAAGTGAGGTGAGAGATTGTGGTGGTGAAGGACATGTTGTAACAGTTTCTACCTCTTATTTCAGCAAAATCGATGAATCACGTTTACGGCAAAATAAACCGTGGCTGTAACCGAATGCACGAAAACCTTTGCCCATTTCCCGAACGCAAGCATTTGCTTTTTTCTGGTGTCAATATGAATCTCACACGTTGTTGGCTGAACAAAATACAGTCAAAACCATAAACATTTGAAGGGCAATGCAATTTGCTTCACTTCAAATCCACTTTAAAGGACTGAAACCAATTACCGGTAAGATATAACTGAAGTGTAGACCTGTAGCTTTAGTTCAAGGGGCTTAAATGATATTAACATTTAATATATTTATGAATTAGAGCAATTTTTCTTAACATAGTATCTGCATTTCCTGAGGCTCCAAAGTAATTGGACAAATGACTCAGCAGTGGTTTGGTGGCCAGGTGTGGCCTTGTTATTTCATTAAAAATTCTACAAAGTAAAAGCTCTGGAGGGCAATTTTGTTTCGTTAACTGTTCACAGGAATTTAGGAAGTAAAGGACGCTTTCAGTGGGATGAAGAAAAGAAAACACACCTAGGGCAATTTAACTACATTGTAACTACCTAGAATAGCATGGAATTATTGGCATAGATAAAACCTCGTCACAGCATGTAGCAGAGTGTAAAACACTGTCACAGAGGTACATGTAACCTGGTCGAAGTCTACGATCAAGTGATGCTTTAATAAATTTAGCATTACCATCGTTAACAGTAGAAAGATAAAATTAGTAGTCGATGGGAGACCTCTAAAAAGACACACAAACAGATGTTGTAACACTCATTATGGGGGATGTTATTATGTGACTTTTAATGATTTATTTAAAATAGTTTTTTTTTCAGGGTGGAATAATTCACACTCCAATCCACAAAGGGTCAAGTGTATAAAGGCTAAAATATATACATACTTTTACTTACATCTTTTAATATATAGAGCTGAATGCATTTTAATTTGACAATCATTCCACCCTGGAAAAAGAACTGTTCAAAACAAATCATGAAAAAAAGCTCAAATTTAGGAGTGACATTCATACCTGCGATTGAATATAAAGGTCTAACCACAACAATCCTTTTTGTTTAATATACAATATAATATGCACCAAGAAGCCCTAATAGCTGCTGTAAAAAAATAAGTGGAGTAGAAACAGTTAGTCAACATTAACTCATCCAGACCAGCTCATTTGCAGTTTTCTCATCTGTTTTTCTGCTTGGAGATCTTACATCTGTTGATTCAAGCTCTGAAAAGTGAGCAACTCACATTACACTACCAGCTCTAACAGTCGCTAAGAAAACAATCCTGCTGAACTGGAAAGATGGACAGAAACCTTTCAGTATTTCAACAGCACCACTCTGAATACATTTGCAAGACAAAAGGCATTAAAAACAAATAACATAGCTTCTCTCAAATAGATATTGGATACTGTTTATCAAAGTCATTTTTCTTGCCTGACTACTTCTGCCATTGCACCAGTGACATAAATACCACCATTTCCCACATCCCCAGTGCCTGGGTGCATGCACCACCTCATAGCCTGTCACCTACCACTTGTATCATAGTAATCTGAATTGTGACACCCATTTTAAATGGTAAACGGTAAACGGCCTGTATTTGTATAGCGCTTTACTTAGTCCCTAAGAACCCCAAAGCGCTTTACACTACATTCAGTCATTCACCCATTCACACACAGGTGTAGGCAAGCTACATTGTAGCCACAGCTGCCCTGGGGCGCACTGACATAACATACTGTGCAAACGTCTTTAGACAACACTTTCTTCTTTATATTTTGTAAGGAAAATAGGAAAAAGGAGCTGTGACTTATTGAAATGTGTGAACACACATGGAAATGCAGCATGTAAGGTGAAAACAGAGTTTGTAAAATTTTAACAAGCTTAAAATTCTAAATGACGATCTTTATTCTTCAACACTGAAATGCTGCCCCAAACCATGACAGAGCCTCCACACTGTTTCACAGGTAGCTGTAGACACTCACTGTTGTACCTCACTAGTGAACTACATGTTGATGAAAATTTAACCCTAAAATCTTACATTTGAATTCATCACTCCATAAGACCTTTTTGAAAGAATGCACACAGCTCAAATAAGTTATGAGAACATTTCAACCCCACATCTGATACCAATGAACGAAATATTGAACTTGCTACCTCTGATCTCTTCATCAAGATAAAACTAGACTCAAACTTTCATACAATGTCTTATCTTTAAAATTGAACTTAAAATTTCTACTGCCTTTATTTGTATTGGCAACTTTTATACTGGAATATGAAAATTCTAAATATCAAATATTTATAGTTTCCCTCCAAATATCATGTCACATTTGACCTCTGACCTCACTTTAACATTTCACATCTGCCTTTCTTTCAAGTTTACCTCAAAATCTTGTAAGAAAATCTTGTCAAGACAAAAAGAATTCTAGATAAATGAAAACCAATAAATAAATATGTTCAAAATTATTATTATAAGTATATTAAAATCAATTTTAAGAGGACAAATAACAAAATCTTGCACTTTCCACTTGTTTTTACTGCACTGCAAACTTAATGTTTAACAAGAAGGCAGAAAACAAAATAAATGTATTTAAACTACAATACTATTCCCTTAAAAGTAAACCCCGTCCTCTTAGAGTGCTTCTTGTTTTGGTTTTTTGTATTTTCCACACATTATCAACTGTTTCTAAGCTGACTGAGCTGAGCCAGTGATGTGACCCGATTAGACCTTTCTTTATCTACTGAAGACAAAACTCAGGGCAGGAAAACCCAAAACAAACAGCAACTGAAGATAATGCATGGCAAGAAACTCAGCATTTGGTGTCCATCATTTTCAGACTGACCAGAGTTGTTTCTCAAATTACTGTTCAGTCTGCGAAAATGGCTGTAATTCCTAAAGTGTTATTGCAACATGTCCATTATTGTGGTGAACAGAGGCAAAAAACCCAGTATCATCCAAATATTGGAGGACCAGACTGTGAGTCCCTATGTAACTTTGAGGAAAATGATGTTTAACCTCTCACATTTTCAAGGTTGAACAATTTATGCAAAGAATAGCAGAGTTTTAATAAAAGTATTTGGTGAGTTGAAGCTTCAGACTGCATTTTGTAAGAATCTGACTATAGAGCCATTAATCTATGTAGTCTCAGGAAGCATTATTGGAAAAACGGATTATTATTCAAATCAATCTGCGTATAAAAGGATCAAGTAGCAATAACAAGCTTGTGATAAACACCCCACCAACATATGAATGGAGCATAAGTGGATATTTTTATCACTTTAGAGGAATGCTAACATTGCAGCTTGTTACATATCATTACATTTATAAATATGAAGACATTGTAACACTTCTTCTTGTTGTCTGGTTACACAGCAGATACCGAAATTGAATTTAATAAAACCCTATCCTGCCAGATTTAGAACAGAAGTTGAACAATTATGACTTTGCTGTCAATATTCAAAATTGTGCATGATTAATAATTCTCTTTGGAAAAAAAAGAATTCTGATTAGTCAGATGGCTGGCATCCTTTTAATGTGTGGCCAAACTGACCACTTACTGTCCAGCAGGAATTTAGTTTTGTCAGTCTGTTGAGGCTTAGGTCCTGATGACACTAATCCCTTTTTCAGCCCCCTGCTCGTCACATATACAGATAGACACACGCACACACTCTCACCAGGGTGTCACTGGCAAAGGGACGAGGCTTTGTGTCTGAGAAAAACAGACGATTAACCTGCTACACACACCAGGGATGTTTGCACACAGACAACCTGAACATCCAGGTCCAGCCACACAGACCAGTACAGCCTCCCTCAGCAGCGCTCACACCAGCAGAGGAGGAGGAGGAGGAAGAGGAGGAGAGAGTGAGTGGCAGCCAGACTACCTGGCAGCCACGGTTGTACACAAAGACTTAGGGGGAAATAAACAAGCAGATGTTTCTAATGAAGTAGGAGGCTTTGTTTGAGCACTCAGAGGGGATTGGGGTTATTCCGTCAGACGAGTCACCGACTGGTCGGTTATATAGTTCCATCACAGACACAGAGGAAGGTCATCAACCTTGAGAGGGCAGAGACGTTTTATTAGTTAATCTGAACTGGGTGAAGTTGAACAAAGACCTAAGATCATCCTACATTTGGGAACCTCCCAGATGAAGACGTTTATTAACCGACCTTCCAACAAATCTGTGGGAAACAAAGACAAAGATGGCTCCAGACTGTCTCCATGACTTAAATGTAAAAAAAAAAAAAAAAAGATTCTGTTCAAGCATACTGTTGGTCAGTCCACCACGCTGGAAAAGTAGGGGCAATCAGCCACGGCAAAAGTCCAGTGGGATATTTAATTTATTTTTTAATAATTATCTGTTTATTACATCATCATTATTATTATTTATTAAACAATATTTTTAAAGCACTCAGTGTTAGGAGGCACAGTGAACATGCACAGTTTTGTGTAAAATGAAGGGTTAAACCAGGAAATGGTACAAAACCAGCTGTGAGCAACTGGTGGGGTGTGGTCCCTTTGTCGGAGGAAAACCAAATACCAGGATAGGAAAAGGCAGAAACGAGGATTAAATAAAGTCATCTATTGCGCAGGTTGAAAAAAATAGTACAGATATAATGTTTTCAATGTTTTCCTTAACAAAACATCTGACACACAACCATCTCATTACCACTCTCACCCTCATCCCTCAAGTATTATCAGAACCAAATTACAAGAAGCATCATTTAATGCTCTCAAAACCAATAAAACTGAAACATTTGCCTTCTCACAAGATAATCCTTTTCTATCCATCGAAAAAAAACCAAACATATTTTCAAAGTTGGCACAGGTGGCACTCCCTGAGATATTTTTTCCTCTCCAAAAACAAGATCAGAAATTCAATCAAAGAGCAGAGCACAGCCAATCAGCTCGCAGAGTCCGTGGCAATAACAGCATCAGTCTGAGCAGCCATTGGTCCTCTGTTTCACACAGAAAAGGCTTCAATTGGCTGCTGCCGTGCCGAGGCTTCATTGCCTCCATGGCAACATTGCTTCCTTATTGCTTAGGGAAGGTGAAAACAGGGGAGAGAGGGGAGGCGACTTTCACTCAGACGCTACCTCTGCATTATTCATCCTTTGTCCCCGAGTGCTTGTAGAATGAGAGGTACTGACAGACGTGTGTTTCTATGTTGGTCCTGGTTTGGGTGGTAACGATTGGTTCAGAAGTAAGAGGGGAACGGGGTGAAATCGGTGCAATAATTGCACTCAGTAGTGCAACACATCCACCAACACCAAGTCTATATATAAAAACGGCCAGATGAGTTCAGAGGCGATCCACTGAGCTGTTCCCTGAGATGCAGACTTTAAACAGAGGTAACAGCCTTTAAGCTTCATTTCATTCTATGGGGAAAAAACAAAGCAAACTGGGAAATGTATTCCAAAACGAGCCTGCTACCCACCCTGTGTAACAGGGTGCAACAGCGCACATCTGGACTGGTCGGCTGGCTTGCATCATCCATCCGCAGGATGCGAACAGGCAACTCATCCTTAAGCGAGAGCTGGATAAAGACAACACTTCTGCTGCGACCACCGCTACCAGAAACAACAAAAACCATGCGGTTTGTTTGTTGTTGTTTTGACTTCGCCCCCACTACCAACAACAACAGTAGAGGGTGGGGAGAATTAGAGGGAGGGGGAGGGAGAAAGAACCAAGGGTGGAGTTACGAGAGAGAGAGAGAGAAAAACATCACACAGAGATTAAGGTTGGGGGGCTGGAGGGGTGAGCTCATTCACGACTCTTCCCTTGTGTGTGGTGTGTGGTTGAACACGAGTTGGGGGGGGGGGAGCTAACGTCTGTTGACAGGCATGCTGGCCAGCGAGCTGGCTGGCTGTTCCTCTGGCGGTGAACACGATGACGAGATGGCAACAGGCAGTCAGCGTAGCACGTGCTCTCAGTTGCCATCGCAACCTGCCCTTGGATACAGCGTGCTGGTTGGCCGTTTCTCACTGTTGTTGTTGTGTGAGGCTGATGAAACCTCGTGGGTGAGGGAGGGCAAACGGTACGGCGTGGAGCTGCTTTTTGGTAGAAAGTGTTGCTAGGCACATTAGAGGTCAGCAACAAACAAACACTTTTTAATGCTCTAACATTTAATCAACCCACTGACCCCGACTTAAGCAACCTTCCCAGTTTTGAAGGTCTTAAACTGGTTGTTTAACTCTTAAATCCAAGAAATACGTCTAATTAAAGACAAAGCAGGATAAGCCACTGATCCCCAAACAATTTAAGTGCAAAAGAAACATTTAAAAAGATTATCCTGACAGTTTAAAGTTGTCTCGCTTGGTTTAAACTGCAATGTGAAACTGACAATGCCGGAACATGTTTGAAACTTCAATGCTTTTATTACGCAGATGAGAAAAACATGTAACTTTGAGAACAAAACGAACAATCCAACAATGAGTAAACGCACAGAGAAACAGATGGTAATTTCCACCCATTCTGGAAAATTCAGTCATCATTGGAACAGAATAATGCAAATACTCTTCAGTTCCTGCGACGACTGGACGATTAAAAGCATGTATCCGAGCCTGATTTCAAGGCTCCACACTTGAGGGAGAGAACAAAGAAAAAGTGTGTGTGGCCTTGAGTCGAGTGGCCAGATCAATACAGCATTGTGCTGAGCGAGCAGCCTGTTTGATGAGATCCCGAACAAATAAACATTCTGCTCGTAGCGCGCATTCATTCTGCACTACGACCTACAGGGAAGACGGTGCCATGAGCCGCGAGAGCTGGCAACGTGATTGATTACAAGTGCAGGGAGGCTTTGTTTCACCACTGGTAATCAGGACAAAGCAGAGTGGAAGCTTTGTGTGTGTGTGTGTGTGTTTTTAGGTGTTGCGATCAGGACGACTCATCTAACTCGAGGAATATGTCACAGATAAAAGCGTTAATGTAAAGGTACAGCTGAGGGGTGTGGATATTAAACATCGCTGTCAGGCGTCATCGCATCCCTCCTGAAGGCCAATCTCGATCTCCTCTAGCCTGTGTGCCATGGACATGACCAGCATTTTCATCTAGAAAAGATTTGGGGGGGGGGGGGGGTTCATGGGAAAGAGAGAAAAGGATGGTTTAGAAATTGTGTTGCGTTTTGGGCAGGTAGAGGATAGAGAGAGGAGGGAGGGATTCAGAGCGGGGAAGAAACAAAGGGGGAAACGGGACAGGTGGGAAATGAAGGGAGCAGCGGGAAGCAGCAGTGAGGAAGAAAGTGGGGAGGAGGAGTAAAGATAATTGGTACAGGAAGACAGTGAAGAAGAATGAGGTAACCCAGAGAGGAAGTGGTCAGGGGCAGACGGGTGCGAGGGGCAGTGAGAGAGTGGGAGGGGTGGGGGAGATAGGTCACTGAGGGTAGAAGATTAAAAACCCAAACAAGTGTCTGCAAGTCACAGACAGACAGACGGAGGGACAGGGAGGCAGACAGACAGAATACATTAAGCGTGGCATCAGGAGCCACGAGCATCATCAGATAGCTGAGAACAAAGACCAAGAGCAAAAGGGTTCGGAGAGAGAGCACGAATGCCACCTGTGTTTACCAAAACTGCTGCACGATTTTTGTTTGTCGTTTTACATTTTGCAAAGAGAATAAAAACTATCCTCCTATCACACCTTCCTTTCATTTAACAAAATGGGCGCACGCAACAATTTTTTGTTTTGTTTTTTTTAATCTCATAGTCAGTGTACGAGAACTGGTAAAACAGAAACAGACGCCAAATTATTCACTCCGTGCTGCAAACACAGGGACGTGTTTTTCTGTTTTTCTAACTGAGTGGAAGACAATGATGTCAAACTCGTTAAGCATGGAGCTTTTGCACACCTGAGTTCCCTGCCAGCCGTTTTTTCCTGCGCTTTCTGTTTCTTTGTCTGTTTGTGGTTTTTGTTTGTTGGAAAGCTATGGGATGCTTGACGCAGAAAACTATTTAGGACTCGATAAAGGCTAGGCTCTATGAGCAGAATCGATAACGGCACATGTATCTAGAAAATCTGAGTTACCGTTCTGTCATTTATTTCCCCAAATAATCAGGCAATCCTGATATAAAATGCCAGAAAACAGTAAAACTTGACCTGTACTTTAACTTGGTTAGCAATAAATGTCATAAACATAAACCAAAATTCAGTTAACAGACTAAAATGACACTTTTAAAACTCAAAAACATTAACAACTGATGAAAGTTCAGACCTGTTACTATCAAAACATTTTACTGAGCAATAAAACGTTTAACTTTATACCTACATGAGCCTTGGATTTAAAAAACACCCAGCTAGATCTCTTAAAAATTGAAGCCTTAAAGTTGAAACTGGGTTTTTGAAGTGTATCATCTTGATGTAGGGTTTTGTCTGCAAACAAGTAATAATAGAAAGCGGCGATGTTAATATCTGAGCTGATCAAAAAACCTTTATAATCTTGTTACAATGCACCAATAGCTAACAAGACAACCTGCCTATAACCAGAAATTAATACAACTGTTGTGTAGTTATAGTCTGATTAATCTGTAATCTATATAGACAAGCACTAAACACTCAAAGCAAGATGGATTTAAGAAGTAAATCCAACCCAAATATTAACCAAAGCCAGTATGAGGTAAATATCTTCACTTCATTATGCACTTTCCTGGGGTATCCCTTTGTCTGCGTCACACACAGTGTAGTAATATTCTCACAGCAGTGACACTGGTTTAATTTAATCGGATGAACTGGGGGGGTTTTCACGTATATCTTTTGGTGGATCACAAAAATGGAAAAGGAAGAGGGAAGGCAATTATACACAAATACTCAGGTCACGGGCAAAAAAATTTAACAAAGCATTTAACGAACTTTAGACACACCTACAAGTCTTTCTGGATATTTAAAAAGACATACGCTGCTTGTGCTTTGTTTTTCTTGTCCCATAATCAGCACAACCTGTTCCTAATATACTGCTGCACAGATAACATCTCAAAATGCAATGGTTCACATGGTCTGTGATGAAAACTCACAGGTTGGTGCAAAGTGAAAGCAGAGCACCGCGCACACACACCAAGCTACCGTGACAAAAACACTCCATGACCAAAACATGTTTTTCTCCAGCGAAGATTCCTCAGCATGGTCTGTATCACATCTATTGTCCCCGGTGCAAGAGAGTGTGGAAGGGCTGGCAGGCGCTCCTGCGCGCTATCGCCGCCTACTGGCCAATTAGTGGTTTTGTGGGATATTTTAAACAAAGGGTGATTTAGACTTCAACTTTGGGAGTCATTCCACGATTCCCGTGAAAAATCTGACTAGAATTCCTGAGCAGTGATAATGAGAATCATAAGATGACACTAAATTAGGGTAAGGAAATTAAAATTGAGATATTGGATAACTGCAAACAGGAGATTTGGATGTCAACACTGAACCCTAAACATATTAACATCACTGCTATTATTCCAGAGAAAATGGTATAGTGCTTGCAGAAGACGAGACGGATAGATGAGGTAATGTCTGATATTAGTGTCTGCCTGCCCGTTACAGCACAAAGGGTTTCCCAGAAGTAAGCTGATGTCACCGTTAGTACAACCTATGCATTGGGCATCAACGAAAGCGCTGCAGGTTGCTAATGAGAAAGTACTATGACAGAGACAGGTCAATAAAGAAAAACTATTTCTGCTAAAACCTTGCATAGAGTTTAGACCTGCTGACCAGATTTTGATTTTTTAACATTAATACTTTTTGCAAAGCAACAATACAATTTTAAGGACTAATGTCAACCTGCGTTTGGAGATATAATCAGTTTACAGTGAACTTTAGAGCAGAAAATCTGCTCATTACGTGAAACATTTTGTTTTTCCCAAAGCAAGACATCATCAGGGAAAGCAGACAAAGAGAAGCAGCAGTAGTAATTTACCTCTGTCAGCTGTTGTTCAACAATGCCTCTGTACTCCAGTGTTACTGGCTGCTCTTTGGGGCCCTCTGCTGCCAACATCTGGCCTCCAGAGCCGAGCACGTAGCTGAAAAAGATTTCCACTGTCAATAAAGTTGTAAAAGGAGGATTCACACCATGAACACGTTATAATTAATGGTATTAAATACAAAATCATGACCAGAGACAGTACAGCTTATTGCAAAATAACTAAAATATTAATAAAAATTTGTTCTAAAATAACAATATACAACATGTCTCATCTCTTCTGTTTGATATGTAAAATGTCAAAGCTTTGTGTCTCAGTTATTAATCTACTTTAACAAATCACCAAAATATTTTATTCTTTAAATCTTTGTGAAAAGTTGCACGGGAGATTTTACTTCTTCCTTTTCTATTTCATCGTGAGTATATACTAAAGATCCATGTTTTAAGTGGGGGTACACTGCTGGGTACACTGGGTTAGACGACCTTTTTGCCTTCAAGGTTCAAAAAGAGCCACAAGATTTGCTGTAGATTCAAAAAGGTGCTGAAAACACTCCTCAGAGATTTTGGTCCATATTTACATGATGGCATCACACAGTTGCTGCAGAATTGTTGGCACATCAATAATGTTAATTTTCCGTTCCTCCACATCCCAAATTTTCTCTGTTATAGCTTCTCTATAATGCACTGAGCTCATTGTCAGGTTCAACAAACCAACTTGATTGAGATGATTTGAGCTTTGCAATGTGATGCATTATCCGCATGGAGTCATCAGAAAAGTAGTAAATTCATGAACCATGTTTTGTTGTTGTTTAAACTAAAGTCTGTCCCAAAAACGCACCTGTCGATGTCAGCGACACTGAAACAGAAGGTAAACCTCTTGTGGTCCAGGTTCTTAGGGGTGGATGTGTACACCATGCCAAGCACAGAATGGCAACCCCGACAGATGAGATCCACAACCAAACTGTAGAGAAATTAAAGGAGGAAAAAACACAACATTCAAACAGAGAAACAGATTTACTCCAACAAGGACACACATGCATATATATAAAAAATGCCAAAAGAATGGCTTACCCTGCCCCTGCCCCGATGGACGTTGTGGAATCAGGCATGCACATGTGGTATTACTGCTCTACCTGTACTAAAACTGCAACGCTTCAGAGGTAGATCTATCTCAGAGTCCACTGCAGTTATCTGACAACTATCAACACTTTTCATAGCTGAAAAGGCTGTTCACAGAGTACTGAATATTAATGGAAAGTTTGCATGAAGAGGAAAAGTGTGGTAGGAAAAAGTGAACTAGCAGGAGGGATCATTGCAGACTTGATTGTCAAGAAAGGTTGATTCAAGAACTTGGGAGATCTTCACAGTGCTCTGAGGTTGCTGTCACCACACACAGACATCCTCGGCGAAGGACCGGCAACTGTTGTACTCCACATATCAAGCCTTTCCTTGGCTAGAGACAACTGAAGCATCTACAGCACATTCTTCCATCTGCTGATCACCTGATGTTATTGCTGTGCTCGATGGGTCAGCTAACTCCCCTGACTTGAATCAGAGAGAGAATCGGTGGGGATTTGTCAACAGGAAGATGACAAACACCCCATAACACAGACCAGCTGAAAGCCACCATCAAAGCAACCTTTGCTTCAAGAACACCTCAGCAGTGCAAGAAGATGATCACCTGCTACCTATGCATCAAGCTTTTCAAGGGCCACAGAACTGAGTGAGGAGTGTGAGAGGTCCACCCAGGTGATGTGACTGAAACAAAAACACTATCTGTTCAACCTGATTCCACAATCCTCTCAGGAAGTTTTTATGAGTAATTTCACACTTCTAAAGTCATCTCCCACATGGTTGGATGTGTAGAATTTGACACTAGCATCAATCAAAAAAGGGAAATCCAAGTCTTTACTGAAATTAGAGACCATCTTGAGTTTTCAAGGTTCAAGGTTCAAGGTTCTTTATTTGTCACATGTATAGTTATACAAGTATAACACACAGTGAAATGTAACCTGACACGCTCCTCGACATGTGCAAAAATTGGGGGGGGGGGTAGAGGAAGAACAATATATATATATATATATAGTATATACATTGGGTGAATGTGCAGTGGTAGCAGCAAGCAGGTGAATTCTGTACATTAATATGAATAGACATCTGACTATTTTACAGGATAGACAATATAAACATATTTAAAATTAAAGGAATTTGAAATGTACATTGTTCCTTGGTTAAGTGTCTGGAAGAGAGTCCTGTCTCAGTCAATTATAGATGATGTGAGAGGGCGGGTGTGTGTGTTTAGGGCACGGATGGCTTGGGGATAGAAGCTCCTCTTGAGTCTCTCTGTCCTTGCCCTAATGGATTTGATTAAATAAGAAATCATAAAAGACTCCTATGTGCAAGTTCTGGTGCTTTCATCCAGTTGTGAACATTGTAAATTTTGTGCTACACTAGTATTAACTAGTAGTAAAACTAGGTGGTAGTAAAGGACTGGAATACATATTTTACTGCTGGGCATCATCTTACCAGAGAGACTTTTTACTTGCTTCATACAGTCGGTTCTCCTTTCCAATCATGACATTGTCAGTGACCCCTAAGGATAAAAAATACGTCAGCTGAACGCAGCTCAAAAATCTGTAAATTCACATCCTGTAAATAAGCACACCAGGCCATCAGTCTTTTCATTCATTTTAACATGTATCTCCTTTTAAAGTAATAAATATGAAAGGTAAAATGCATGTCAGAAGGGCACTTTCATTAGCTGAGGCACAAAGTTACAGATATATTAACACCGACTTTAAGTAGAGGGTGTTTTTACTCAAATACTTATTTAATCTATTAACTTTTTCATTTTTTACATTTAAAGTTCACATAAGAAACTAATATTTACATTTCTGTTAAATTCTTTATGATTGTTTTGCCCTTTTGAAAATTTCAGAAGCAGTTTAAATAGTTAACTTTGTAAAATGGGTACAATGCACAAACAATCAAGCATTGATAACATATAGTTAATATTGCTGGTGCTGGGGTGGGTGGTAGGCGTTGAGCCTACAAGGGGGCCCCAAATCAAAATCTGGACCCATAACAACTTGGGCCGGCTCTGGGCTAAAAGGGCAAACAATCTCCCAAGCCAAACTTACGCTTCAGTCTGATTTGGTTTAGATCATCTTCACTTCCATCCCAGGACAATGAATCGCCGACAGGCAGCTTGCATTTCGCGCAGATGAAGACCACAGGTCCGTCATCGCCGTTGTCCTCCTCGTTCTCGGTGGGGCGGAAAAGCTTTTCCCCGACCGTGGTGGAGTCTATGCTGGACGCGTCAAACGTGGAGTTATTTACACTTTTACTATAAGATTTTTCCAACTGTTTCCTCGTCGCCATTTCTACTCGCTTTTTCAAACAAGCTATTTTGAACTTCGGCGGGTTGTTGACGGTGAAGTAACCATCCGAGAGGTATCCGACGATACGAAACGTTAACCTGCACGCACTTCCGCTTTCGTCCTTCCACTCGGATACATTTTTTTAAATAATAATTTTAAATATGAATATTTGTTAGCTTGTTGTTGTTTGTTGGCCGTTAACGTATTTATTTATTAGCTTGTGGCACTCAGCCCGGTGAGAACAAAGCGTATATCAGTGGCGATTCTGTTGGGTCTCTGGGCAAATAAATAAATGAAAAATAAAAACAAATCACAAGGGCCACCTCTAACCAACATTCATCATTCACTGTGTTATAATTAATCTGACACCAACAATAAAAACAGCAGGTCAGGTAAAACGTTACTAAAAGTAGTGAAACTCCAAAGAGTAATTAAATTCTGTTTTATTTATACAGCACCAAATCACAAAACCTGTTGTCTCAACGCACACAGAGATGAGTAGAGATGGTGAAGGTGAATGAGAATAAATACCTAGGATCAGTCATCCAAAGCAACAAACAATACACATGAGATGTGAAGAACACAGTGCAAGCATGGTGGATATGAATGTAAAGACAGAAGGATAGCAGCGAGCGTGAAAGAGAAGCTTTGGAAGATTCTAGTGAGATGTGCCATGATATTTGGTTTGGAGGCAGTGGCACTCCCAAAAAGACCAGAGGTGGCTAAACTGAAGATACTAAAGTCTTCATAGGAATAGTTCAGGTTGAACATTTTGGAGACAAAGTTAGAGAAGCACAGCTGAGATGATTTGGACATAGGAGGAATGGTGGACACAGTGGGGAAAGGATGATGAATATGAAACTACCAGGGAGAAGGGAAAGAGGAAGACCAAAGAGAATATTCAGCGATGTAGTGAAGGAAGACATGCAGAAGGTTGTTGTGACAGAAGAGGATGCTAGGGATAGGATGAGATGGAAGCATATGGTCTGTTGTAATGACCCCTAAAGTAAGGAGTTGAAAGAAGAAGAAAATGTCAGAGTGTGAGACTGAATCCAGACTGATTCAGAACAATAATACAACAAAAGAGCCAATATCACTTGTGAAAAATGTGACCAAATGACATTCCCTCCACATTTTTATTTAGGTAGGTTCATGTTGTTTTGTTAATTTGTTGAAATTGTAATTTTTAGTTTTATTTCAAGAGTTGTAGCTTTGAGTTTAGCTTTGGTTAGCTCTAACAATCCAAGTCTACAAGTCTCTTTAGTTCCGTCGAACTGAACGGAAATGGAGGCGATCTATTTTAAGTTTTTCTTCATCTTTGTTTGCCCACAGGAAACGTGAACCGGAAACAGTGTTTTGGAAAAAGTTTTTTTTTAATATATATTTTTATTTAACTTACCAACTGTGATTGATTACGCCTGTTTATCTTTTATTTGATTTTGTATTATGAAATATCTTAGAAAATATAGAAAAAACATATGTCTCTCGTTTGTTACTTGACGTGGTTTTGCCCTGTGTTCTCATTGGCCGGTAACCAGGAAGTTTTTGGGATGATTTCGGGGGCGCGAAAACATTTGCAGCTTTCGAGAAGACGTTTGTTTTGGTTTGTGACGACCTTTCAGTAGTCATGTGTGAGAAGATTAAGAAGGTATTTTTCTGTTTCGGGAGCATATCCCGCTGACTGCTTTTGCTGCCCCGCGTTTATATGTTCCTGCTTGTTGTGGCATCCTCAGGTGAACAGCTGGCTCGGCCCCGTGTTTGGTGAGCAGGTTGTGCCACAGTTTGAAGTCAACACACGGACAGTGGACATCCTGTACCAGCTCGCCCAGTCCAGCGAAGCCCGCTGTAGTGACACAGCCCTCCTTATAGAGGACCTCAAACAGAAAGCTGCAGAGTACCAGGCTGAGGGTGAGTAATTTACAGGCAGTTATACAAAGTTCATTTAATCTAGGGAGGGGGGGGGGGGATAAATATGCTGTGGGTTTAAGACCGCATCCAAGTGCACTTGCACTCATTTTAAAGGCATTTAGCAGGTCACAGTGTAATAGAAGGACAGTTAAAGTTCAGGGATATCAGTCTGTCAAAGCAGGAGGCAGAAACTGCTGATAGGGTAGATGCAGGTCATTCACAGGCAGCAGAGAGAGTGGGACTTCTCCAGGATGGTACATCACTACGGTTTGCTGTATCTTCCATCGTGGTCTCAAAACAGTGGTGACACAAGGAGAGCTGGACAGGGTTGAAGGGCATCGACCGAGCAGTGAGATCAGTATCGGCCCCTTTGTGTGAGGAGGGACAAAAGGAGTGCTGTCAGAGCCCTGCAAAATTACCTCCAGTGGGCTAATCATGTGCATGTTTTGTTACCAAACCTAAACACAGAAACTATGACGGTGGCATTAAGGTCCTTTAGTGGGACCTGTGTTCACAACCGAACACCATGCAGATTAACTGGCATTCGCCTGAGAACACCAGAACTGGCAGGTCCTCCCACCAGCGTCCCGTTTTCCTCACAGATGATGTTGCAGGCAATGAAACGTTCACCATGGTTACTCCAAACTCTTTCAGGACTGACTTTTGCACATGGCTATTATGTGATGGATGAGAAATTAAAAATTCAAAGTGCCTACAACCTTTACACTGTAACGTGTGGTGTATTATAAAGTGTGTTTACATTATACTTGGTATACAGAAACACATTTGTCTAGACTTAAACTAGTGAACAGATACTGATAGTGAAGTAAGAAACAGTATACAATGATTTCTACATTAAAACCATTTAACTGTTCATCTTAGTTTTCTCCTTGTATGTTTGCCTGATGCCTCATCTGTTTTACTTTTGCACTGTGGTACTCTTCCTCTGATGCATATCGGCCAAAAGTATATAAAAAAAAATCCAAGTTGTTACAAATAATATTAATAAGCCTTTATTTATAATGATTTACTTTTCTCTGTGCTGTTTATGTGAGACATTAACTTCCACCTTAAAGTTTTCAGTGTCTTCTCCACTCAGGTGCTCATCTCCAGGATGTTCTTCTACAAAGCGTTGGCCTGTCCTCTGCCAGTTTGTCAAAGCCAGTTGCTGAGTGCTTATCTGCTTTAGTAGACAATGCTATGGTGCTTGGAGTGAGAGACACTTCACTGGGCAGGTCTGTTTTGTTTTTTTTCTTCAATGAAGTTGGCCAGGTTAAAAAAACAGGGTGAGATAAACTGGCTCGTGTCTCGTCATTTTGTGTGCAGCTTTATGCCAGCCGTAAACAACCTCACTAGTGAACTTCTGGAAGCGGAGAAGTCAAATAGAAGACTTGAGAGAGAGCTCCGGGCCCTCAGAAAGAGACTCGGGTCAACTCTGGTGCTCCGGGGAAGTTTACAAGAGTAGGTAACTCACCTGTTCTTATATGGATGATATGTAGCATATTTTGTAATACTGGCAATCTTAATTTTCAGGGATATCAACAAAACTGTCAAAGCTCAGGCAGTGGAGAGCGCTAAAGCTGAGGAGAAGCTGCTCAAAATGGATTTTGTGACAGCAAAGGCGAACGAGCTCAGTAACAGACGGGAGCGGTGTGAGGTATGTTGTTTGTGTTTCATTAGGTATACCTTGTTAGTGCAGGGTTGGACCCCTTTTTTCTCATGAGACCAGGCTTTTTTTTTTCATATCATTTTTCATATCTTTTTTTTAGAAATCCAATTTTTTCTTAGCCCAGGCAAATTGTTGCCTCAGTTTCCTGATCTTAGCTGACAGGAGTGGCACCCAGTGTAGTCTTCTTCTGCTGTAGCTCATCTGCTGCAAGCTTAGTTGTATTATATTCAGAGAGGTTCTTCTGAATACCTTGGTTGTAATGGGTGGTTATTTGAGTTACTTCCTGTCAGCTCAATGCAGTCTGGTCCTTCCCGTCTGGCATCAATGAGGCGTTTTCAGCCAGAAGCTAGAATAATACAGTACTCCTGTCTGCACCTCCAACCATCAACCAGGTTCAAAGTCACTTTAATCCCATTTCTTGCTCATTCTGATGCTGTGTTTGAACTTCAACAGATGGTCTTGATGCTCTGAGTTGTGATTGGCTACTTGTACTTGCATTACCAGTACTCCAGTAGGCAGACTGAATAATGTGTATATTGCAGTGATATCTGAGGCAGTTTGAAAAAGAAAGAAGAGCTAATGATAATAATGCCTGTAACATTTTTGCAGAACTCATCAAGATATTTAAAAGTGTTCTGTGTTTCTTTGTGTTGACTCAATTAATTGGAGGTTTGCTTTGGATGAGAAACTATAACAAAATGTACAAATAAGATTTTGCCCTGCAGCTTTAGAGGTACAGTTACCCTCCAGTTACAGTAAAAATATCCATCATCAGAAGCCAAAAAGATCAATTTTATGTATATAAAACTCTAAGAATGGTCATAGTAAAGGAGAAAAGATGCAGAAGAAAAAGTATTTTTTAAAAACGTTTGGGATGGTATGAAGTGTTGACGACACTACCACAAAAAAGAGATAGTTTTCAAAAAATATAAGAAAAGGTGTAGAAAAATGCACTGTTTTCCTCATTGGGATGACCAGTTTTCCAGTTTTTTTTGTTATGCATCAGTGTTTGATCTCCCAGATATAATGTGTGCATCACGTTACAGTTTAGAGAACAGAGATGTTTCTGCAGAACAGGTCCAAGAGTTCCTGTTAATGTCAGGAGGGAGCAGATATTCTAAAGATCACTGATTTTATTCTGCTCTTTCTGTCCTGCAGGCCCAGCTTGTATCCAGGAACATGGACAAGTCTATCACCCACCAGGCTCTTGTGCAGCTGTCAGAGGTATTTCAGCTTTTCCACATGCGCCCCCATTCATTGCCATGGAAATGAAAATGTAATACCGTCTGCTTAGAGGGTCTGAAAGTGTCATCTTATTTTTCTCTCTACAGGAAGTCACCGAGCTGAAAAAAGAAATAATCCCCTTAAAGAAGAAACTGGAGCCCTACATGGACCTGAGCCCGGTATGTTTGTTTTCACTCTGTTACTGACTTTTAAATACTCCACGACCAAACCCCTTAATCTGTTTTTATCCTTTTGGATAATGTTTTTTGCACACAAATGACTTTATTAAAACCAACCTGAAGGAAAGGGTTGAACCGTGTTCAGACGTGTGGAAACAAACTTCCTGAATTTGGGTTTCTGAATTTTGTTTTTCCTCCTCTAAACAGAGCCCGTCTCTGGCTCAAGTGAAGATAGAAGAGGCAAAAAGAGAGCTGGTAAGCATCCTAAAAACTCGCTCAATAATGGATGAGATGTGATGGCTGATTTATTGAATTTGATCCTATTTCTTTTTTTTGTTTTCAGGCTGCACTTGATTCCCAGCTTGAGATGAATGTGGATTTTAAATGAAGATTTGTCTAATGTTACTGTATTATTTACTGTGTTTGTTAAATAATAAAAGTCACTTAAATTTCTTTGCTTTGACACCCACCTTCTGGCTTCTTTTTATGCAACCCAACAGATCTGTGCAGAGACAAAAGTCTCCTTGTGCTCTAAAAGTAAGCGCTGCTTAGAGGCACTTTTTTCAAAACTTCCAGCTTTAAAGTCTTGTCAATATTATTCTTTATATTTTTCTTTATTTCACAGTTACCTATTAGAGTATTTATTAGAGAACAAAAACATCTGGCTTCATCCGTTTTCTGTTCCTCCACCTCTTCCTGTTTGTTACAGACATCGTTAACACTAATCAAGAGCGTTGTCTTTATTTTCTGTTCACTGCAGTCTAATTGAGGGGTTGTTTCCCCTCCGAAGAAGTACTAACAACATGTCGTGAGAGTCTGATCTTTCTGCCCAAATACAGAGACAATAGATGGCATTAAATGAATAGTTTTGTTGTGATGGCAACATATTTAAAAAAAACAGGATTTGGTAACCACGTAAAAGATTTTTGTCTCCCAAACACTTATAGCAGGAATGTCAAACTCCTCTTGCATCATGGGCTACATACAGCCCACCTTGATCTTTAGTGGGCTGGACCAGAGAAGCTTCTCAAATCTGCCAACACAACTAAATTGTAAGAAGTAAATGTGTGAAAATAACAGGAAAGGTTGTGGTATTTCACTGCCCAAAAAAGTGAAACTTTACATTATTTCATTATTTTTCTATTGCTTATTTACTTTGGTGTAGTATAAATGGCCATGGTGGAGGTCTTTATCTGTAGAAGAAGCTGTAAAACTTGTAAATATACAGTTAAAAATCCAAAGATTTCCTTGAAATTTTCCAAAGCTGCCCAGTGGGGTCAGATTTGAGCTTTTTTTCAGCCGATTCTGGGCCCCAGGTCTATGTTTGACACCCCTGATTTATAGTCTGTGTTATTACTGATAGGTCTCCTGTGGTGAATGTTGACATAGTTGTCTTGAACAAAAGAAATTATAATAAAAAGCATTATTTCTATACTTTTAAAAAAGACTGCATCATCAACACATTTCAGAAGACTTTCCACTAACTCATTACATGAATTTCTTGTTTACCCATGTGCCACTGTTATTTTACTGACTGGCCTAGATGGCTATGTTACCTCTTAAAAACAAAGTGCAGGAAACCTTTTGTGATAGACAGCAGACTTCCACAGGCTTTGGAAGGATAACGGCACGTAAAAGTGGTTTTGGGGCCACTGCCTGAGCACCCGGAGCCAAAATACGGAGAATGCAACAAACTTGTCCAGTTTATATGCAAAATACCCCCCTTGTGATCCAAACCCACCCTTGCCTCTCTCCCACTTATGTGGAGCTGAGTGTGGAGACCCCAACTGTCTCTGTCAGTTTGACTGTTGTACGTCTGCTGTGCAGTCTGACACGGAGACTGACTGGTTACCATGGAGTGGGTCATGGATGTGGGCTGGGGAGCAGTTTACCCAGTAGGCCCCCAGCTTCACTGAAAGGCGCCATGGTTAGGGTGTCAGATTATGAAAAGAAACTGAATCAAAATGTCACTTAAAACCTCAAAATTTGGCACTTCTAATTCTAAGAGGTTTTCTACTGATTAAACCTTTGCACAATGTCCTATGAGAGTTGTTCTATTACTTTTGTGAAGATGTAAGATTAATATGCGAAGAAAGCCGAAATATTCCGCCAAATATAATACACTGGTCTAAAGCTATGATGTGGAAAAATAAAATAAAGCTTAGGAGTTGTAGAGAAAGGCGAAGGAAACGGGCAGAATAAAACAGCAAGTTCCAAAAAGTAAACATGTGCCTCGCGGAGGGGGAGGGAGCCAGTGCGTCATTACCAGCGAGCGTGTCGCCCCTCTTCCCTTTAAAATAGTTTTATGCGCCACGCCCACATTATGATTCCCGCTCAGCTGTTACTGTGGGTCGCCTTCAGTTTCCACATGGATCCATTCACGGATCTGCGGGCTTGAGCGTTTGGGAAGTCGCCGTGGGAGACTCGCCACTCCACGCGTCGCTCGGATCCGTCACCTCGTCTGTCAGTTTTGAACAACTTGTTGCGCAGCTGCTATTCCCAACCTCCTCTGTGGTCCATTGCTGCTGCTGCTGCACACAGCGGCTGATCTTACTCAACCCCAAACGGCCGCTGTTTTTCTCTCTCTCCTGTGCTGCAGGTGAAGACGGATGAAGAAGTGATTTGATCTCAGCTCAGGCGACACAGAGATGAAGCTCGGTATCGCGGCCTCTTTGAGCGCCTTCACCATCTGGCGTGGGTTCTTGTGAAGTCTGGGAAGTCCTACGGTGGGTTTTTTTTAAGCGTCCCAGCTTTTAATATGATCAGTGAGACGGGGGGTGCGAGTCATGAGCTGGACCCGTTGTCGCAGACTGGACTGGAGCCACAGCCTCCTCTGTCTGACTTTACTCCTGTGGACCAGAAGCATGAGTGGACTGGCTGACTTCTCAGGTAAGATGATGGTGATGTGGGTGGGTGGGGGATTACGGGGTGGTGGTGGTGGTCGTGCAGACAATGAGAACACGAAGTATTTCTGTTACAGCAGGTTGGGTATGAGCCCCACTGTTATATGGTGTGTAATAACAGCTGCCAGTAGGGTTGGGTGGCTGGGGTGTGTGTGGGGGGGGTGAACCTTCTGTTTGCCATTTTTATGTATGGTGTTATAGATAATGTGGCTGTACTCTTTCTCATTGCTAGTGTTCATGATACAGCAAGAAAGCCTGGATGGTATAATGTAACACATCTTAATTCTCTATTTTGTGTCTTCTTGCTGTATTGGTAAAGCTGACAAAATGACTGCGCAGCATTTCTTCTCATATTCTAGTGTTTTATCTGAACCATCTCCCCAGTGTTGGATTTATAAATGTATTTATCTTTGGATACACTGTGCACAGCTTCAGCTCAACACCTTGGAATCAGTAAGTAATGTAATGTATAACCGTACAGCACAGGGCGGTTATGTTTGTTGAATGCCGGTTCGCCGAATATGCCACTTTGAAAAAAAAAAAAAAGACAGTGAGTGAGGCAAGACCACAGTGATTTTTTTTTTAAAGCAACCTGAGACACCTGCAAGAGCGCCAAAGAGGCCACGCAACCTGCTCCGCAGCTACTGATGCAGTAGATCCAAGAAAAAAAGTGTTTTATTTATGTAGCTAATAAATTACTGCAGTTTCGTTTTTTTTTAATTCAGTACGATTAGGTGAAATTCTGAATGTAATGTGTAAAATTAGCAAAGTCTCCCTTCTGTGCATGCATACATGTCTTCTGTCTAACAGACTACCTGTCCAGGATCATTACCAGCCACTCTGCCCACGCGTGTGATGGGCAACCTCTGCGGCTCCACTGTCCACGCCACTCCACCATCTCCATCCAGTCTGCCTTCTACGGGAGCAGCGAGATGCAGCTTTGCGGAGTAGCTCCACACCCTCCACTCGGGGCACACAATCACAGCTGCTCAGCTTTCACAGCCCTACAGGTGCATTTTATATGTGGGGTAAAGAGCTGTTTTCACTCTCACTGGGTCAGCTGTTACTTAGTGGCTGCTCGTCACTTTCACGCAGTCTCAAAATCGTCATGTCAACCAGTCGGTGCATAAGCTTGGCTCTTTGCATCTGATTTGGTTGTCCTTCCTTCACTGTGGATGGTGTTTGCTGACTGTCGTCCATGTTTATTGTGCAGAAGCTTTTGTCGGAGTGTCAGAGCCACAGAGACTGCCAGATGCCTGTCAATCACCTGCTATTTGGGAAGGACCCCTGCCCCGGCACTACCAAATACCTCCATGTGGACTACAAGTGTAAACCTAGTGAGTTCATCGGGTCAAATTTTGTTTCAGCACAAGTTTCCTCACACATTCTTAAGCGAATAGCTACACAGCCACACATAAAAATCCTCCCCACACCCAATTCCAGCCGTCAGTTTCCTACCACCATCAGACCCTCCTCCAAGTCGTCTTTACTCCTTTTTTCCCCCCTCACTCAGCTGAACACAAAAGACATGTGGTGTGTGAAGGACAAACCATGGTCCTGCGCTGTAAGCCCCCCAGGGCGCTGAACATCTATGCAGCTGTCTACGGGCGAAGGCTGGGTCACACCGACACCTGCCCCTCACACCTGACAAGACCACCCCCGTTTGGTGAGTTTCTAGCAGACGATTCCAGGAATGAAAGGTCTCAAGATGCACGAATAAGTTAAAGAGGACACAGTTTGTTTTACATTTAGAGTACAGCACTGTGAAAGTTTAAAAAAGGGCGACATATTGCTTCTCAATAGAATTAAATAATTCATTGTATAATCTTGTGAAACTTCTGTGTGTGAGACCGTGATAAGGTGGCAGTTTGTGGAGGGATACTTATTTAATTGCTGCTGTTCCCAGACCTGGTTAAGCAGAAGAAAATGTTCTGATGTTATCATAAACAAATATCTGTTCACATTTGTCTTGACATGAATAATGGAATAATACATTTACTCATTGGAGTGTGTCCCAGCCATTGTTATCATTTCGTTCTGGGAACATTTCCTGGTGTGACATTCAAACTGTACGTGACTGATTTCACATTGTACAATGACAGGATACAGTTAGGTCTCTGGATGCTTTTGATTTTATTCAAATTTAACCACAACTATGTTAGTCCTGTGTCGTATTGGCGACCTGTCCAGGGTGCACCCCGCCTCTTGCCCTACAATAGCTGAGATAGGCTCAAGCCCCTCCCACGACCCTGATATGGATAAGCGGAAGCCAATGGATGGATTAACTACAGTTAATCAATGTTTCTTATTCAGTAACTCTTTTTGCAATTGACTCTTTCCCTGCAGAGTGTCTGAACCACGAGGCCGTACACTTGGTCTCCAAGTCCTGCTACAGCAAACAGAAGTGTGCTGTTCCCGTCAGCAACCAGACCTTTAGGGACCCATGCTTTCCAGGAACCAGGAATTACCTCAGTGTGATCTATTCTTGTGGTAGGACCCTCTCTGTTTCCTCATTCACCTTAATTGCAATCCCTGTGATGAATTGAACATAGCTGTTTTAAAGTAGGAGCACATACACAAAGGAAGGTTTTTGTTTTGGTCTCGTTCATTACGCGGTAGCTCCATCGGTGAACATTTCTAACTTCCTACTCTGGATTCTTATCAGCTGATCCCAGCCATCAGCTGTTCTTATCCCATCACACCCAAGAGCGCAATAGCAGGGGAAGATTGGACTGTGAGCAACTGATTTGTGAGTTGGAGTTGACATCCTGATAAACTTCCTGTGATTGGCACAAATGCCATCGAGGTCACATTCATGCATCGTAATTTGGAGCCTGGTGTTGAAAGAATTCTTCTGACTGGATGTGTTGGCTCCATATAGAGCAAAACAATGTGTGTTAGCCTTGAAGGGCGCTTATTATTAATACAATAGTAGGGAAAGTATTTTCGATCTGAATGTGTAACTCCATTGTTGGCTCAGTTTGGATGTGAGAAGTAGCTTGTTTAAAACGGTCTACTGAGCCACTGAGTCATTTTGTTCACAGCGATACAAAGACTTCTTCTGTCCTTTTCCCAATAGTACCGCAGAGTTTACTAAGGGTGGCAGACCCCAACATAGTAAGCCTCACCTCATCTCCTAGCGTGGGCACAGAAAAAGGTACAACAGCGTCATGCCGTCCACGCAGTTCCAAGATTTTATTGTGACTTCTTCACATCGTACTTGTAATCTTCACAATCTTCTCCTGCAGATCTGGAGGAGCCCTTTCCTAAAGGCTCAAGAAGGCCTGACAACTCAGGAGCGATGATGAGCAACTCTCTCCTGACATATGCTTACATCAAAGGTATTGACACACATGCGCTCATGAACTAACTCCCAATCCATGCTTTATCGCAACTCCCCCTCTTTGTTTCCTACACAGAGCATCCTGAAATGGCAGCTCTGCTGTTTACCTCCAGCGTGTGCGTTGGTCTCCTGCTCACCCTGCTGGCTGTATCTGTTCGAGTGACTTGCAGGGCACGCTGGGTCAGAGATCACAGACTTGCACCCAAGCCGGGAAGCCCTACTGTTAAATATCAGGAAGAGGATGAGGATGACACAGATGAAGAAGAAGATGACCACGAGGGAACGGGAAGATCTTTGCTCTCAGCCACGGAAAGGAAGGCGATATACGGTTGGGAGGAAGTGACTTATGTGAGCGAAGCGGCCGAGCGGGCGGAGAGAATTGAGCGCAGAGAGATGATCATGCAGGAGATCTGGATGAACGCCTATCTGAATGGCAGCTCGTGTTAAATAACTCATGACCTGTGGATGCTACTCAGCATCTGGTGTTTTTTCCCAGCAGGTATACTGATCACCACCGCAAGAAGCTCCTTTTTTAACATTGCAGTTTGTTGTGTTTTGCCATTTTTGCGAACAATATGCAAAGAAAAAGTTTTCAAAAGTTTCCATGATCAACAAAGTTTTATGTCTTTTGTATTTATACAGACTCACCACTAAATATAGCTTTAACATTTCAGGCTGAAACATTATTTATTGTAAAAAAAAAAAAAACCCAGCAAACAAACAAACAAAAAAGCATTCACCAACGACTTTATCAGGTTCACAGGCTAGTACCAGGTTGTTCCCTTTTTGCATTTAAAACGTCATTAATTCTTCAGCACAGATGCTGACATTTTGATCCATATTTGGTTCATATTGACATGATAGCATCACACAGTCACTACAGATTTGTCAGCTCCATATCCATGTGGAATCTTCGTTCCACGACATCTATTGGACTAATATCCCGTGACTAGGGAGGTCATTTGAGTGCTGTAAACTCACTGTCAAGTTCAAGATCCAGTGTGAGATGACTTGAGCTTTGTTGCACGGCTCGTCTGGCAGCCATGGGAAGATGGGTACACTGTGGTCATACAGGGACGGACATGGTCAGCTACAATATTTGCACCAGCCGTGCCAAGGAAATATTCCTCACATCATTACACCATCACTGTTAATACAATGCATGATGGATTTATACTTTAAAGATGTTTACACCAAATTCTCACCTTCAATCCAAACGTCACAGCTCACCGTGATTTTACAGTCTTTACAGCCCAATTTCGGTGACCCTGTGTGAATTGTAACCTCAGTTTCGTGCTCGTAGCTGACAGGAGCAGCAGTGTGGCCCTCTCCTTCAAAGATGCTTATTTGAGCTACTGTTTCCTATCAGCTGGAAGAAGTCTGGCTATTCATTACTTGCTGTCATGTGAGTGACTGATTAGATATTTGCATCTCTTGAACAGGTGTAGCTAATTAAGCGGCCAGAGGGTGTATTACTGCACTAATTCCTGATCAAGCAGTCTCATAGCGGCTGTGTTTGTGATATAAACCGAAGAACATGTCAGGGAACAGATCCTGTAATCTAAAGAGATCACTAAACTAAGAAATACAAATGCATGTAAAGACCATTTGATGTATTACAAAAACAAGAATCAGGAGGAGGGGGATAACATTCCAAGGAAAAATAACTAATGTTCAAGTCTAAGGTATTCTCTGAGACTAGTGATAACTTTATGACAGATATTTCCTTATCGCCTCCTATTAGATATTCTTTGATTGGATCATCCACTGCAGACTTAATACAAAGCAAGTGACAGCACCTTTGGGGATGAGGTTTATATAATCTTCTAGAGTAAAGCTTTGACCAATCAAAAAAGAAAAAACTTTAAGAGAATTTCAGACTTTTTGGAGGCATTTTGTGAAACTTGATAGAACTCTCTGGATAACTGCTTCGTCTCCGTCAAAAGTTCAAGGGGATGACAACTCAGTCTGAACTCTACACCTTTCTCAGTCCTGCTGGGATGACCTGAACTGTGTGGAAACTTCCTGACTGCGAGCAACTTTCACAGGCGTTTGTTTGTCTCATTACCGAGAAGACAAAGAGAGGAAAGGTGTAGCATCCTTGTCCCTGCACTCCCAGGGATGTAAAACTACTGATATTGATCAATTTTTGTGTTCACGTGATCAAAATATAAAACACGGAATAAACTTTATTTTTTTCATACAGACTCAATAAAAAACAACATGGTGAAACTGATAAAGGAACACTGGGAGCAAATTTATATTTAAATAAATCAAACACCAGCCTCAGTTTCACATTATGTCAGGATCTGAACTTCAGGACGGTTACAGAGTAGGAGAAACTCCAAGATATAAGAGCACACAGGCTGAATCATCAGTACTATCTGGATGATGTCACATGAGACCAAGAGGAAGCTCATTTTAAGATTTTGAAAAGGCAACTTGTCCAGCTGAATACAGAGCTGTTGAACTCCAGATGACAGAAGTGGCTCCGAGGTGGGTTTGTAGAGTGTTGCTGGTCTTCATCTCGGCCCCCATTTGATATTAGTGAGACCCTGAAACTGTCTTTTGAGGGCCTGCCTGTCTGACCACTCTGAGTCCAGGTAGCGATCATCGTCCGCCTCCTCCAGTTTCTAAAAATGTGACAAAGAAAAGATTAGAATGTTTGTTCAAAGCCAAATGTTTATAACATGTGACACATTTCCTCACCTTGAGCTCTTCCTGCCTTCTGTAATAGTGCATCATCATCTGTTTCTGCTGGTCATCGGTGATTACAGGTTCTCTCGCTGGCGCCCCCTGTCCTTTCTAAAGTGAATAGCAAAAGGGTTTAAAAAAACCCTCAAAAACATATGATGAAGGTCACGGGCCTCAAACATACTTTAGATTGAAATGGCTCTCACCTTTTGGATTTTAACCACTAGCTTTGTCTTTTCATTTCTGCCAATGTAGTCCTGCAGTTTTTTGCCCCTCTGCATCTCTTTGGCAGCCCACCACAGCTGGCATTCGTCCTCTGCGATCACCTGCAGAGACACCTGAGATGAAGAGAAAAGTAGCAGAAACAGTTGAGAGAGGGTGAAGGCAATTTCATGAGCTTCAAATTAATTTAAAAATAAGACACCTTTTTAAAATAACACCTCCAATGATCATACCATAAATGGAAGATAAAAATTCCTATAGCAGTTAAGTTAAATGCTTCTGCTAATTTTATGTGGCCATCAGCCTCCATTTCAGCTGTTTCACCTGTGTTCCTGAAAGGTCTTCCTTGTCCTCCAATTCCATCCTGATTGGGTCGTGAGGAGGCAGCCCCATGGGGTACACGATCATGACCGCCCCCCTTAGCTGATCCAGTGCTTCCTTTATCATTTCCACAGTGACACAAACATTGGCTTGAACTTGTTTCTGCATGATAAAGAGAATGATGTAATTTGTTTGTGACGCCCTTTTTGAACAAAGCAAAAAGTAACGATCAACCGTTAAAGCAAATAACTCACTTTGGAGATGAGCGCCGTTGCAGCCTCCACCGTTCTCATCAGCACCTCTTTCATTTTATCATTAGGCGCTAGTAGAAGGCAAAGGGATGGTTTAAACATGCATTCTTGCAAATAAAAAGGATTGCTTGCAAAATTGTCATCTTTATAAAGGAAATGTGAGTAGTATTATCTACAGCTGTTACGTGCTATCAGATATCATTTCATATAATTGCACAAAGTCAGGAAACCAGGCTTTAACTACAGAGCTATATTAAATCATGCAAACCCAAACGGATGTTACAGTCTCACCTTGTCCATTCCTCCTCCCAATGTCATCCTTTCTAAACACAGAGCCTCCACTGGGGATGCAATTTTCTCCCCATTCATCCCTCAGGTTTAGCTCCTCAATCTGCTCCTCTGTCAGCCCCTGCATGTTGGGTGGCAGTGAGATGCCATGGTCTGCAAGCTCGGGAATCTCTGAGGGCACACAGAGGAACAAGCAGATCTTTGTCAGAGGTCCACTTACAGGGTTGAATTATGCTATTTGGGGAACTCAGAGACACGAAACTGGTCAAAATAGAGTGCACCAGCACTGATGTTAAGTTTCAACAGTAGTGAGGTGCAGGTTTGAGTCGTGGCAGCACCGAGGGTGTGTTTTCACCTGAACATAGTCTCTTCACTTTGAGCCTTCCGTTGTAAATGGCAGTAATTTGCTGGATCAGAGTTTCCAGAGGGGTGTCCACGGTGGTGTTAAAAAGAAAAAGGCTTTCGTCTCCACGCTTCACGTGAAGTTGCACCATTTCGCTAAGCAACACCTGCTTACCCCACCTTCCTGAAAGATAGGTTTGAAAGAGAAGAAAGTTGGGGCCTGAATGAAACTTGAACACCACCAACCACTTTCCCTCAGTAGGACAACAGTGCGTAACCATAGCGACAGCCGTGCCTGTCGCGGATGCTTCCAGAACACACGTAGCTAATATTAGCTCTATGGAAGCTAACTGTTATGGCTGCTCACAGTGATACTGTCTGTTGTTATTTTCTCACAGTGACCTACAGCGGTGACACGTACCTATGCAGTAAAACGTGAAGCACTGTGTTCGGTCCCTCCAGTTTAACTTGCGCTCACACTAAACAGCTCACACTGTTTACAACCGGTGGCATTACTTCCCAATTACGATTGGTCAGCCCGGCTGCTTTCTTCGACTGTAATTTGGAGGACACTTCGTGCTATAAAAGCTGTGACACTGCCCCCTAATGGAGCACAGCGGCAACACTGTGCTCCATTTCCACTGTGCAAAGAGAAACCGGCTAGAAGCGCTCACCTTGTTTGCCATGCTCGTCACGTTAAAATCCTTTAATTTCCTCGTTACTCATGATGGCATCTTAAGGAAATAATTAGGATCTTTTAAAAGTCCTTAATTTAAAATAAATATTATGGCATAACAATGTACTGTATGTTTCTAAAATTTCAAAAGACTATCCAGGAATAAGGGGCATTTTTATGCAGTCAAAAACCAACAAGTACTCATGTCAACATACATTTATTTATTTTTTGCATACATACAACATAAACTGCTTCATACATAAATGTGCTGTCTGCTGTGCACATAAATTATGGAACATTGGATATTAATGTGAATTACAGCTCCAAGTTTTCACTTTAATACATACAGAATATGTTCCACAACACAGACTCTTAGTTACTATGGATTATAGCCATAAAAAGGGACACCAACCTCACAAAAGGAGCATTTTATTTCCTATAAAATGTCATCTCGAACTGTGACATGACACAAAGCGCTGGCTAGTCACCTACTGTTAATGCAGATACAGTATCTACTGCACACTTTGAATAACACAGATGCATTTTAGAGATGACACTTACATGTAAGCAGAGGCAGCCGATACACTTGCTTACATAGAGAGCTACTGCCTTCATTGCAGTGAATGAAGATTATCTTTGCGTATTTTACAAGTGTTTAAACAGAAAGCAGAAGCATTAGTTAGGTGGCGCGTTCTTAAATCTGATGTTCATCTTTCATGAACCACTGTAATGCTTTTCAAATAACATAATTCCTGAAGGCTGGGGGAAATGGCATGTGTCGAGGCATGGTACCTGTTGCTCATCCTTCTGCAAATCTATTGCTTATCATCACCGTCAACGTTAACGCTGACTAACAGCAGTGAAAAAGTGAAGTAGGTAGTACAGGACAAAATACTGACACATCACCTCTGACAACACACACATACACACACACACACACACACACACCTGAAGAATGGTTACGATATCAGTGAGGCTCAGTCATAAAACACCCTCAAACAACTAAGGGATAGATATCACATGTGGATCAGAAAAAGCTGAGATTTTGACACCCAACACTCAAATCAAACTTCTGTCTGGAATGTGGGCCACACTGGAAATGTGTTCTGCTGACGCATCTGGGTCTGAGCAGAGTGTGTAGTTCAGTCTAATGAAGTCAGTCAAGATGGTACTCAGAGTACTCAATTGTACAGAGGCATTCTTATTTAGATGGAGAGTGGCATGAGACCCCCCCACCCCACGAAACAGTCCTGTCTTGTATTGTCAACATTGCTGCGTAAAAGCCTGTGTGTAGCCTCTGGCAGGCTGAGGGAATACATACACAGCTGCAGCCAGGAAAAAGTGAATACAGTAGCTGTTAGTGCAGAGCCTGTAAGGAAATACACCGCTTATACTCAAAAGGGAAAAGCTCCGGTATTCCACTCTTAAGTCTGTACACGCACTCACATCCAAATACAAACACTGTCAAACACGATAAGAGACGATTATGCACTTCAAACACATCACTTCTCACCACAGTAACATTACGATTATTCAGAATAAGTTCTATTAGAAATAAGAAGCATTTTAAACAAAGACTAAAGTGGGAAAAAAAAGTGCCCTCTTGTTGATGCATGGCATGTGCTTGCTGCCATGAACACAGATCACATCATCTTTGTACTGTAACACACACACCACATTCTTTAATAGTTTAGTGTGATGCTTTGGATGAATCAAGAAGGATCAAAAAAAAAAAAAAAAAAAAAAAAAAAAAAAAAAAGCCCTCAAGCTCGTTTCAGGCTCAACAGCCAGGAGCGCACACGCAGTGCATTTCAGTTACTCTATGCAAACCACTGACACTGGCACACACACACACACACACACACACACACACACACACACACACACACACACACACACACACACACACACACACACACACACACACACACACACACACACACACACACCAACACCAACACCATTATTTTCCATACTGGAAACACACATTTACACATAACTTCTATGTATAGGTTTTGATAGAGGGCTACAGAATATGTTCAGCTAAGCGTAAGAAACCTGAATGAACAGAGAGAAAACAAAATGCATTTCTATCCGCTGGATGAGATGATATTAAAGAGCATGGCTCCCTGGGTGAGCAGTCACATTAACTGAGCTGTGCTGTCTTTTTCCACACTGTGGCTTTAGCAAGGAGGTGATGACAACCTCCAGTGCAAAATAAAGTACATTCATGATAAAAGCAAGCATACCATGTAATGCTATAATTTTTTATCTCACATACAAAAGAACAGAAATAAAACTTACAATTAACGATATTTGCAAATCAAAGAAAACTGCTGCGGACAGCAGCAAACATCGGGGCAAATGTAAACCTGCAGTGCATAACCTTCTGTGACGATACTGTGAAAAGTAGATTAGCATCAACTCCGGCGAGGAGCTCATTCAAAATGAAGGATATGAACCGTGGTGTGCAATTTTAAAAGTTACACAGATTTAGGTAAAACTTTGCAGGCAAGTGCAGCGTGGTGCACGGCCAAGGAATATTTTGATATTGCACAAGTGAATACACAAATGATTTGTGCGTATAGATATACTTTGATTAACATACTGTAGACACAGGCACATGTTTGCTGCCATGAATAAAAAATAATGATCAGAATGATTCTTAGTAAAATAAGTGTTAATATCCGGGAACGTAAAGTCAACAACACACTTTTGGGCTCATACTCTTCTCATCGTACTGCTCGAGATACAAAGCCTTTCCTGTAATTCAGAAGGGAATTGGTCTATACTTCTTAAATACTGTCTCTTTTGTACATACACACATATACACATTTATCATAGATCTATACATATCTGGATATGCCCTTTACATATGAACTGTGATTCTATCTTTCCATTGAATCCCTGGGGAATAAGCCGTTGTCAGTGGGTCCCTCTGGGAGCTTTGGGTTACTGGTTGCAGTTCTATTTGGGATGGGAGGAGAGAGGGTCGGGATTGCTGCAGGCATGGAAGATAACCACTCTGGTTCTAAATTAAACACAGAGCTGGAAGGCTGCATCTGAGTTTGGGGCACGAGGGAACTGGAAGGAAAGACTGGGTTTTGTGAAGTTTTGCTTGGAGGTTGAAAATCATCATCGAAAGTGACCCATTGCTTAGCTTGCTTTGCTACTGGGCCAGGTGGCTGGTGTCGAGGCGCAACGGCAGGTGGAAGAGATGAGGGTGCCACCATGGGTAAAGTGGGAGGAGGAGATGGGTTAAGGGCAAGAGAGAGTAAAGAAGCAGGAGCAGGATTAAGACTGGATGATGGTCCAAACAGAGACATGGTCTTTTGGAGTTGGGTGGTGGGTACAGCTGCAGGAGCTCCTGTTTGAGCTGGGGTGGGTATCAGTGGTGGAGTAAGAGACACAGTTCTCTGAAGGTTTGCTGTTGGAGGCGAAAGCTGAAAAGTGAAGTCAGGTGTGAGCGGGCGCCGTTGCTGCTGCTGCACCAGTGGGCCAGTGAAGGGGTTGGTGCTGCTGGGTCGGGCAGGAAGTGGGTCAGCTGAGAAAGGGTTGGGGGAGGCGCGTAGCGTCTCCTGAGAGCGACTGCGAGACGGGACCGGAGGAGGAGGGAGCAGCGTCGAGGCAAATGGTGACGGGGTGGAGAGTGAAGAAGAGGAGGATGAATCAAAGGCTTGCAAATCTGCTAGAGTGGAGGACTGGTGGGAGAAGGATGATGGGAGAGTGGTGGAGGAAAAGACAGTTGGCGTACGCCGGGAGGATCCTCTGGTCAGTGACTGGGTGGTGTGCCAAGAGGATGAGGAGGGCAAGAAATCAGATGTAAGTGTGTCAAAGGGGTCGGGCTTCCATTGTGCTTCTCCTTGAATCCCATTCAGTCCGTTTGTCTAAGAAAGGACAAAACAAAGAAAATGCTTCAACAACAAATACACTGTGAAGATATGAACCACGCACTAATATGACTGGAGTACTTAACTATCAAATGAACCATATATTTTGAAACAAATGTTGAAGGGACCCCTTGGTTATTCCTTGTAAACAAACTTGACTTGAATGACATTCATAACACAACATTGCCAAAGCTTTTTTCCCCCCTCCAACTTGTTTCCCCACCCATAAATGGTGTGACGCGCACGCACACACCACTACAAAAAATGGTTAAAATAAAACAAATCAAAGGAAATGTCAAAATAAATTCTGATGTCATTGGATATGAGCTCACTCAACATCTGCAGCACAGTGAACCCATATGAAAGGACAAGTGACAGGAAATGGATAACAGCAAGCATCACATTTACATCTGTTTTTCTTATTTTCCCATCCTTCTCAAATCTTTTATGGTTTGATATGTTGACGGACAAAAGAAGTAAAAACAAATGACGCTCCGCTTTATGAGCCTAACACACAAACACAAAAAATATGCAAGGCCTTATAGGAGAGCAAAACATTCAGGTTTGGCATTAAAGATAAAATCGATTACAAAATAAGAAAAAGGGAAGTTACTGGGTTTAATGTATGAAAGGTTTTAACATCAGGACTGTGCTATGGAGGATGAGACAAAAAGGTGGTTTAATATCAAGTACCTTTCACCCTGAGGGCTTCTCCAGCTTGTGAAAAAGAGACAAATGTATCAGAAAGAGTAAAGCAGAAAGAAAGACAAAGAACACTCAGCTCATCTGACAGAAAGGAAGCAGAAAAAGATCTTTTTCTATTTTTGTAGTCTTTAACCCACAGCAGTTTCATAAGTAGGTGTACAACATCTTATTTAATTAACCGGAGTTCAAAATCTGTCAAACCCAAACAGCAATCTGGAAAAAATAATCTCACTGTACTAATTAAATAAGTGTGTAAGTGTGTGTTCACTACTTCCAATAATTAAATGAAAAGAAAGTTGGCAACTACCTGTGCAGCTGGGGCAGTCTCAGACTTGGCAGCGTCAGGCGGCAGAGCATGAGAGGAGCGGGAACGTGGTGGGGGTTTAGGAGAGGCTAAACTCGGCTGAGGCCCGGCGGGGGCGGCAGCAGCAGGTGCAGCAGATGGATCTGCTGCTTTAGGGGCTGGCGCTGGCTGTGGCTGGAGAGGAGCTGGAAGTGTGGGCTGCATTGGAGGTGGAAGCTGAGACTGAGCTGGAGGGGCAGCTGGCTGAGGCTGCATGGGAGGCTGCATGGGTGATGAAACCTGGGGCTTCACTGCAGGTGGAGCTGCAGGAGGTGCTCCTGAGGGTTGAGGACCTGAAGAAGTGAGGCAAGAGTGAGGAAACAGAAAACAGTTAAGGGTTAAAGTTGCTGTGTGACAACAAAAGACTTATTAATCAAATTTCCAGGTTTATTTTTTTCTGTGTATAATTAAATTAACTGGCCATTTGAACACCTCTAAATGTAGCCTCTGTCTGAGATGGGCTGTTTTAGCTCCCGTCTCTTTTAGCTGTCCTTCCTTTGAGCCTAACATGTCCTGACTGGCTCGCAAAAGGAACCTGCCCCTCTAAGACTTTTGATCCTTACAGAAACAAACAGTGGTAGCTGGATTTCACCAATTCATCTTGATCTTTAATCAAAATGGCAATTTATTAAACACACCAGAAGCTGTTTTAGTTTGAAGAACGATTTTGGCGACAGTTTTCACATTGGAATATCTCAGCAATGCCCCACTATCGATAATACAATTCATTAACCTCTATGAAAACGTATTTCTTTACCCAGAGGCAGGTCAGCTGGTTTGGTCTGGGCACTGGGCACAGGTCGTGGGGCTCCAGGGTGGGTATCTGAAATAGGGCGAGGGGCCCCGGGATGCACCTCTGGAATGGGCCTTGGTGCTCCAGGGTGAGATGGAGGTGGTGGGCGAGACTGAGGTGTCACACTGATTACCCCAGCTCGAGGAGGGATATTCTGGAGGGTGAAGAAAGAAAAGTGAATAGAAATTAGGAGGTGGGCAAAATTTAAAAAAGAAGAAAAAAAGAAAGAATGATGATAAATCTTAAGTATTAAACTCACTGGTCTGGAAGCACCTCCTGGTCCAGGTGCTCCTGCTGCTGTCTGCCCTCGACCTGAGAGACAAACAAAGTGTAAGATAATTTGTTCCAAACAATACTGACCATGCAGGGTGTGCCCTGTAGGTTGAGATTCACAGAACAGGGACTTTTAAGATTAATAAGTTCAAGTTAGAGAAAATTTTAAAGCGGCACTAAATATCATTCGAACAGACTGCAAACTGACCTAAACCTATGACAGACCAAATTCCCTGTGGCTGACTTCATAATTAATGATGACTCAGTCATTCCTGAGCTGCAGGAGGTCTGGGAGAGAGGCAGGCCTTGTTCTGTGAGCCAACTGCTTACCACAGAGAAAGCATACTCCTCATCTTTCACTATTCTCTTCTTGAGCTCCTCTCAGAGCCTGCAAACATTTTCTCACGCCACTTGGATGTCCGTCTCTGTCTAACTAACTCCGTTAACTATACAGTCACCCCTGCCAACCACACGCACCCTTAATGTAACAGAGAGATTTAGCTAACCAGAGTCACCATACAAATGAGTCAGGTCACCAATAGGCTATTAATCCAAACCCTATCCTCCAGCCCAGGACAGGCGTATTTTGTATCAGGGTATTAACACATACCCAAGTAAAACACAACACAAAGATAAGCTCCCTTGTCTTTAATAGTATATGGATGCTCAGTGAAGCGTTGCATGCTATCAGGCACTCACCTGCAGCATCTGGCCGAGGAAGAGCAGGGCTTTTTTGTCCTTTGCAGCACAAAGGAAACCAAACCACATTTTGTTATACACAAACTGGAATAGTACTGATGGGATATACGTGCCCCCAAGGATAGTACGGTATAAAAAGCAGTAGCAAAAGCATATGCTGGCAACAATACAGCAGTGCAGTGAAGCATGTGATGCTGTGAACACCCACCTGCCACCTCCAACTAATCAAAAGGGATTAGCCAAACTGAATTAAAGACCACCTCAAAGACCAAGAGATTTCCCTTCAACTCACATCATCTCCCCAGGTTTGACGACAACAATCAGACAACTACTCGTTTAGTCCGTAATGACAAAAGACACACTTGTCAGGTATCCTTTTCATCAGTATGTGCAAATGGTTTTTAACAAAGTATGGAACTCATGACCCCTGATTTATTTTCATTGTCCAACTTTTTATACAGTTGTAAAATATATTTCTAGAACCCAATGACCTCTGGTGGATGCCGTGTACTGCCAGTGAATATTAAATGGGAAGGAAGAAATATAACCTAACCTGCAACACATCTCTCTTTCTCAAACACGCACACACAAGATTAAAAAGAAGACTCAGAGTAAAACATCTGTAAATCATCAATGTCATATAAAAGTCTAATTCACATTGATGACCGGGCGCAAAAATACAGGGATCTAAAAACAACTCCTCTCTGGTTACCTTGACTGGCCCTCCTACCAAGCCGTGGTTTGGGAAACTGGACACAGTCTTAAAGTCAAAGAGGGAAAACGATGTTTTGAAAATAAAGCACAGAAGGACACATGATAACCAATTTATTAAAACCAAAATTACTAAGTTTTGGTGTTGTTGAAACATATGTACTCGAATGTCTACTATATAAATATATATATATATATATATACATATATATATATATATATAGGTATATATATATATATACGTATATAATAGGGCGTACAGTATATATTGAATATATTTAGGGATACAATATGAGATAGAATAGGTCTAATATATCGTCACATTACTAATTATAACTATTACAGGCTCATATATATATATCATACTACTCAGAAATCGAATAAATACAAGAAAGAGTAACCAATGTCTAAAACACTAAGAATACTGCAGAACTCACAGAGGGAGTACAGAGGGGGAGACACTAATGACTATATAAGAATTTATATCAGGGGTATCAAACATAAGGTCTTGGGGCCATAACTGGCCTGCCAAGACTCTAACCTGTGAAGGACGTCATACATTTTTATCTTTTAACCGCGTTTTAAAAAGTTTCACTGCTTTTCTTGCTGATGAAGACCTCCACCATGGCCATTCACAACACATCAACATAATAAATTATAATTAGTAATGTTACACATTTACTTTTTAGAATTTAAGCCCAAAGATTCATACGGACAGATTTCTTTCACTTACCACACCAGCATTTCATTATAACGTAGCAAAACTGAGACAAAATGTTGAAAATAAAACTTCTTTATGCTGACATAAATCACTGGTTTCACCGGTCTGACCCATATCGGATCTAAACATCCCTGATTTGTATCAACTACAAAGAACAACACACAACAAACACAAACAGACAACACAGACAGACACACACACACAGACATACACACAGACACACAGACACTGACACAGACACACTCACACAGACACACACACACACACACACACACACACACACACACACACACACACACACACACACACACACACTATGGAGAGTACTGGGAGGATGCACATTTAAACTTGACCTAAGTGGTCTTCAGCACATTTCAACTGACAAACTTCATAAACACAGTTAATTTTGTAGCTGCTCCCTGTAAACCAAACAGATCCAAATATCTCATTTCAAGTTTTCATGACACCCCAGCTGAAAAGCTCCAGCTAAATCCACAGTCCATCCAGATGTGTGTGCATTCATTAAGGTTCAGGTATATGTTGCATTAGTGTTTCAGCAAAAAAACCCATACATTTGGGAGAAAAATATTGTGTGTAAATTAAACTTAACTATAAGCCAATTTAAAAAAAATGCATTTAAGCCTGAGCAGCTCTCAGTTAGCAAAATTAAAAAAAAAAAAAAAAATCAGTATATAATGTTAAGTTATATATCTGGTGTTATTTGCTCAAGAGCATCTCTATGACAGCTGAGCATGTATGGCCAGTAATTATTAATAAGCTTTTTGTAATATGTTATTCCTACAAAGCTTGTTTGTAATTAAACTCTAGAAGCAAAATGATGACAATATTCAATATTTACATTAATCTGAAATCTCACAGCATATTCTTGTTTTACAGCACACACACAGACTAAATGTTCCCAAATCAGCACCGATTCATTGCTCCCGTCTGTGTGCAATTCAAATGAAAAACAGCATCTGCTACATCCAGTGCTTACACACATCAACTGCACAGCAATCACTTTACCTCCAGAGTGCCTTCTAATTGGCTCAGGGCTCACGCCTCCTTTAGAAATAAGGCAAAGCATGCGGGAAAGTGAAAATGTTAGCATCTGCCTACATGCCATACAATACCGGGGAAAAATATTAAACTACAAATCCAAATTCAAATTAAAGATTTATTTAACAAATTTTCTCTGAATAGCTCTAATGGAAAACAGCACTTGCTAAAAGCAAACGCTTACGTAATGTAAGCATTTAACTACATAGCAATCACTTTACCTCCAGAGCTCCTTCTATCTGGCAGAGGGCTCATGCCTCCTTCAGATATCAGGTAAAGCATGGAAAAAAGGTGAAAATGTTATTATCTGCCTATATGTCACAAAACCAGGCAGAATAATTAAAAAAAAATATATCCAAACTTCTAATTAATGTTAATTTTTAGCTGCTTATCGATGTGTAGCTGGCATATAAAACAGTGCCTACTGCATGGAATGCTTAAGCAACCTAAGCATTTAACTGCACAGCAATCACTTTACCTCCAGAGTGCCTTCTAACTGGCAGAGGGCTCATGCCTCCTTCAGAAATAAGGCAAAGCGTGGGAGAAAGTGAAAATGTTAAACTCCACAATGCAATACCAGCCAGAAAAATCAAATCTACAAACTTCCACTTAAAAGTGACATCTATTTTCTCTAAGGTTGCCTGCTTATTTGTTCTTAAAAATCAGGCTTCAATGAAATGTATGCATGACTCCAGAATTTACTCTACCTGAAGGTGGTGGTGGGCGTTGTGGAGGTGCTGGTCTGGCAGGGGGGGCGTTGGGGCGAGGAGGAGGTGGACGTTTGGGCTCCAGGCCTTGAGCTGTGGGGGCACCAGGCTGGAAGTCAACAGGAGGCCCTGTGAGGAAAAGATATATATGTAAGAGGTAAATTTATTTATTTAAAAAAAGTAAGTAGATTAAGTGACATTTTCCCCCCATTTCCAAATGGGTCGAGAAAATGTATTCCTGCCCAATTTAGAGACATTGTGAAAACATGCACATTTTCCCCAACGGTTTTTATACAATTTCTTGATCTAACAAAGCATCTGTTTAGTTTGGACTTAAGAAAATATTATGTTAAAAATGTCACTTAAACATCTCTCAAAAAGAAAACAAGTAGTTTACTGTAATATACACATCATCTGCCAACACTAAACATAAATTACATCATCACGTATAACATTCCCTGATATTCCTTCCTCAGTTACAATGGACTTCAATCTACTCCCACACATTACAAACAACAAAATTACAGTTTACATTCCAGCAGACACAGACCGCCATGAAAGCACTTCTTTACTAAGTGCCGTATTTACCTTGCGATGGTCGGGAGGGCTGTGCTCCACGGCTAGGTCTGCTGGGTGCAGCAGGTTCTCCATGGGTGGGGGAGGGACAGGGGCTACTTCTGGGAGAAGGGAGAGGGGAAGATCCAGGGCCAGTCCCTGCTCCAGGCTGCAGGTGCTGAGGAAGGATCTCCTCAACCTCCTCGTCCACATCACCTGGTACGGGACACAGGAGGGCATGAATTAATAACTGGAAACAGTGCCCTACAGCCATCATTTATAGTGCACATTTTTCAGGATAAGGACTGGGGTTGCTTGGCAGCCATTCTTCACCTTCCATGTCGTAATCATCATCACCCACGTCTGTATCTTCAGCAAGCAGGGTGGAGCTGGCAGATGTGGGAATGCTTCCACAGATCCTCTCCACACTCATCTCTTCCTCCAGACTCTTGATCCAGCCTGGACTCTTCAGACGGATATCGATCACCTTGCCAAGGACCTTAAATGTAAACCAGGTGATACAGGCAAGGCAGAATAAAGAGAGTAGTTACCACATACACCACCGACAAAAAAGGGTTGATAGACATTTATATGAGAGTTTAATAGTGATTTTAAATGTTTTGTCTTTTAGCTTTGGAATAATTTTATACTCGTGAAGACTTACAGTGGAAGCACTGAGAGACAGAGCAGCTAGAGCAGAGTACCCTTCCAAGAAAGTCACCCACATCTTCTCCTCAACGAACCTGCCCAAACAAGGCCACTGTCAATACACACTAACCATCTGAAGGTGATATGCCTGCCTCTTTGTATTAAGATATCAGGCTCACCTAATGAGGATAACTTCTCCAAAATTAGCAAACTTTTCCAGCAGCTCGTCTATGAGTGCATCATCAAAGTAGTCGTCAGGCCCGGAGGAGCAGAGTGACACCAGAATGGTGCCATCTGGAGGCCCCTGCCGGGCAATGACATCCTTGTAGACCTGATGCCGAGCCTCTGGGTCCACTTCTAGGATGTCCACATCTATCACTGCCACCACAGGCCTACAGATAGATACAAGGGAACGCAGGTCACTCCAATGATAGCGGCACTTGATTTACAAAAAAATGCCACATTTTAACCACCTCTGTTTCTAATCTATGTGATGAGATAGTTTAACTTTACAAAGTTTAATCTAAACCTTCACACTTCTATGCATGCTGTGAGTTACCTGTGGTCTGAGGTCTTCAGCTCAGCCCTTCCGTAGTACTTTAAAGTGCCAGGGCTCCAGGTTTGTTCTACATCATCATCACTATCTCTAGATGAAGAAGCTGCTGCTACTATATTCATCTCCTGGGCTGTAAAAAATACACAAACACAAATATATATCAATGCAAGCATATCCTCTGAGCTCCTATTTCTATTTTTCCTGTGTTGCTTTAGAGATCTGTAATAAAAGGGAAAAATAATTTGGTTTAGATGGGTTATACACACTGACTTTGCATCTAACCTGTTTTGTCAAAGTTCCACTTTCTCCTCTTCCAAAGTATACGGTCAGTCCAGGCGGGCGTGCGGCACTTCTCACTGGTGTCATAGTCTTCTGAGAAGAGGTCATACTTATAGGTGGGGGCAAAATCTAATTTTCCCTCAATAAAACCTCGAAAGACCTGTGGAAGACATTTTTAGATTAATATCTTCATCACAGGATCTTTTTTGTAATCCAAAGTACATTTACATGAAGTAAGAGACCATACTATACAGTCATTTTATATAATTAACATTACAACACAGAACACTCAATTTTTTATTATTTTTTTTTTACAAACCAAAAGTTTGATATCTTAAAAATCACAACATAAATTATTTATGTAAATCTGACATATTGCAATATATATTGAAACGGTGAAAAATACTGCTCTGCTGGTATCATCACATTGTTAGCAGATGTCCAGGCTCAGTCCCACAAATTAGCAGACACTCAAACATGGATGCGTAAAGTATAACATCTGCATAATTATGCATGTGTGCTGTAGGCTTTACCAAACCGGCATTCTTCTGGTCCAACAACTGGTCCCCTGCTGTCAAGGCATCCCAGTTCTGCTGCTTGATGAGATCTTTTACTTCCTCATTAGGCAGACTTATACGATAGTTAAAGTCTCCACACCAGAACACATAATCATGTGAATACAGCAGACGGCCCTGGTGGGTAAGATTTATGTTATTAAGCATTTAACTTAGACAACAGGGTGTTTTCTTGACTTAATAATGTTATGGTTATTACCATGGGGAAGCTGAGTCTGCGTGTGATCTCATTGTAGTCGTCATTCCTCTCTTTGACCTGTGATTGGCCGGCAGCAAAGTGGGAGCAGACGAAGCAGATGCTGGTGGTATGGAACAACAGGCGGATTGCCACACCTCCTTTATTACCTGTGGCGCCACCCATTCCAGTTTTTACAGTATCAACAGCTACATCCCTGAAACACAACGAATATCAGATTACATCTACTACCATACACCCCTAATTATATAACTACTAATGTGGTTTCTGTGCAGCTTATACCTGATAAATGGTGCATGCTGTGGGCGGATGAAAACAAAAAGACACACTCCCACCAGCTGCTCTGAGGCAAGCAGCACATACTTGTGGTCCCGTGAGATATTTTTTTGGAGCTCAGCAGCCCACAGCTTCTGGTTGGTAGTACTGAGACAGGAACAAAATGAGGCATTACAGTACAGATGATAAAGTTAACCAAATTATCATGTTAACTGTCTAACTGTTAGAAAACCCTCAAAGCAGTTCATGTCATAGTTCTGGCATTGTCTAATGACCTGAGCAAGTTTTAGCAAAATCAAAACTGTAAATCCGCAGCCATTGCTGGAAACAACTTTTTTTTCTACTTTCTACTTTCACTTTTAAAGCAATCAGTGTATCGTTGAAGCTTATATTTCTTCAGTTTTTTAAAGGAAAAAAAAAAGCTCTAGTGTTGTTGTAATAACTATGAGACAAAGTTCTTTAATCTTAGATCACGATCTTGCACACATACCTGGCACTGACAATGTTTCCCGCATTCAGTTCAACCATTTCCTCGAAACCGATGGCAAAGATATCTATGGGGTTTGTTCTGCTGTCTGTAAAAAGGACAAAAATCTAATTAATGATCCATACATGTAAACATTCTAATACCTTGATATATTCCATCATAAGAATATGGAGGTAGTTTCTAGATTTCAATAAATGTCTTTTAACTACACGTGCATTATTTCAATTTTAACTAATAAAAAGTATGTTGGCATAGTATTGCATAATTACTGTAGGAACAGCAAAAGTGATTAACTATACTGTACCTACAGGGTTCTGATAAAGGACAGCAAGCAAGTATATAACTGTACAAGTTAGTCAGAAAATATCAGCATCTTAACATTTATACCATTAAGCATTAAGTACCAGAAAAAGAGCATGAAAATGTATTCATAACAATCCACCTTTTCTAGAAGCATTAATTACAATTTATTGTACTTTCTAAACATTAAATGATCAGATTTAGATGTGACATCAAACTTATTTTGCCATTCCAATTGGTATCTCAGTTTCGTGAACTTATATAAGCAGTAACTTTTCATATTTAGTATAGACATGAGAATTCTTCCCATCTAAGGGAAAAAATGTGCAAACTGTCAGAAAACAAACAAACAAACAAAAAAAACCCCACCCAAATATTTCTCTTACCCAATAAATCTAAAGATATATAAATATATATCTGTAGATTATATATACAAAAAGTCCAAAACACTGACATACCCTGGAACTCAGGATGTCCTGCATTCTTTGGAGCATCCAGCAGCCAGTCGTTGAGTGTCTGGTTGCGGAAAGCAATGCTTCGAAACTGTTTACCCCCATTGACATTCCAGGTACCGATGCAAACACGAATCTGCTTGGGCCTTGTGTATTTATGGTAGTTCTGACACATTCCCAACAATACTCTTGGAGATGCTGCAGAAGGGAAAGGATTTGAATTAAAATGTAATTCTACAGTTAGTTTAGTAAGTTTATGTATATATGGACGGCTGCACTCAGGGTAACAAAACTAGAATGGGAAACGCTAACCAAAAGCAACAAAACCAATGGAAAGGTGGTATTCATATACTATGAATGAAGACCACAACAATGTCATAAAACATGGGGCATGGGAGAAAAGGATGCAAATCAGAGCTTGTGCTAAAATACAACAAAAGGTTCACATAATCAACCTTGGTAATGGTTCACTGCTGTCTGTAAAATTCCACTTAAAGGCGTGTTACATTTCAATGCAAAATTAAAAACATCTTTTTTAAAAATTACAGTTTAAGAAGCCTGATGATATGCAACAGATAGTCAATTAAACCACTACCAACACTGGTTTTCAAACAAATGAAAAATAAAAAGTAAAACAAATTATAGGACGAGGTTATGACAGGGTAGAAAAAGATCCATCCACTGGTAGCAGTCTGCCAGTTACTATACCTGATTGTAAGACAGGTTCAGTGACTACAATTGTGTGCGAAAGCAGAGAGGGAGAGAAGGGAAAGAAGTGTGGGTTAACCAGCGCTGTAACAGTTAATACCGGCAAAGCAGTCAGTCAGGCCGGAAGAACGTTAATATTAAGCTTCCCACTTTAGTGACACAGTAGCTTTTGGCTAACAGGGCTATAACATACAGGAGCATACAGAAAACATATCTAAGCAAATAATTTTCTCTTGATGGCAGAGAAATAAAATTATATTATGAACATTAAAATGTAACTATTCACCCCAAATTTTAGGCAAGATACATCCACTAATCCAATGAACACCCCCCCCCCCAAGCATTTACCATAAAGACTGGAAGTGGTGAGCAAAGCCCGAGCTTTGTCTGCCAAATCACTGTTGAGTGTGGAGCCTAGCCTCAGGATGTCTATAGCCTCCTGCTTTGAACTGTCAAAGAAGTTGTTCTGGATGGTCCGAGTCACAGAACGAGCTCCATCTTTCAGCTTCCCCGCCTACAATAACGACAGGTATTCACACACAGTGCAAAAAACAATTACATAAAGCCACCTTAATTTTTAACAATGCTCTCATTTGGTGTGAAGAGCCTGTACTTTCCGTTCCAGCAACGGAGAGAACAAAAGAGGACCACTTCAGAGAGATCAAATGAATACAGATTGTGACAGAAGAACTTTAAAATGTCACTGACTGATGAGCAAGACCGTTTGATCTACAGACACTGATAATCTAGACTGATTCCTTCAGTTTCCAAGAAGATATCAGACAGTGCCCGATGATCATTCATTTTTTTCTTTTCATATTTATGTAAATCAGTGATGAGATCTCCATGGAGTGTCCACAGCAGGTTTTTCTAGGACAGGGAACCCTCAATGGCAATACGACAAAGAAATAAACAGAGGTCTGAACTAACCCTCAATCATCATCACCATCCTCATTTGACCCAGACATGGAAATCAATAATTCACCACGACGGCTCAAAAGAAAACATCAACTATCTTGTTAACTTACCACACAGGTAGAGAGGTCCAGAGGACAGCCGAAAGAGACAGCACACAAGAGTTAAGAAACAGAAGCACACAGTTCTACACACAGAAGATCAGCTGTCCATGCAGAACTGTCACTGCAGGTACTACATGCCCATTATTTATATTACATACTAAGTCCATACTTGTATTATAAACTATAATTTATGCTTTAATATCCAAGTTAAAACTAACATTTTAAAATTGGATCGTTTCTATTTTTAATTACAGCTTTTTATGCTTCCCCCTCTGTTTATATACTAGAATAAACCCATCTTTGGTTCGGTGCATTTCTATCCAGTAACATGACTGCAGTTCAGACATATCAAATGTAGATTTTTAATATTTAAAAGGTCACACGCTTTAAATATTAAAAGTTGTGACCTATGTAGTAGTAGTAGTAATAAAAATAATAATAATCATCATCATCATCATCATCATCATCATCATCATCATATATCCAGAAGCAACAATTAAAGATTGCTGGAATATGCTGTGCTTTATCAGGTAGGCCATAATCTGGCTGCTGGCAGGGAAATTGAAAAATTATTTGAAGTGCTTCAATTGTGAATTACTGCTAACCTGCGTATCGTGTGCATTTTTACTGCAGTAAAAGTCTGTACCTTGGCCTTGCCATCCAGGGCCCCGGTGCCTGCATAGATCTTACTGACGGAGTCACCATTAGCGGACCACATGGTCCTAAAAACCTCTTGAAACCTGGCCACCAGCTGTGGTTTCTCTGTCAAACCCATTTGTTCCAACTGCTTAGGCAGCATCTGAGGAAAGGAGGGTGACAGGGGTCAAACTAAAATCCTCTTTAAAGACTACAGGAGCAGACAAGCTCAGCAGTACTCTTACCTCGAGAGCAAAAAAAGCTTGGACACTGTTGGTTCTATCCAAACAATCCAGGCAGTTGGTCCTCATAGTCCCTCCCTGAGTCCTAAAACCACACAATAAAGAGTTATTGCAGCTTTTTTTCCCTCCCATCATGTACACTTAAAACTTTCACTGGTGCCAATGGCATAATAAAACACCTGTGTACACAGGGTATCATTAAAGGCATTTAACTTATTAGTTTACATAGTGCTAAAATTGCTGCATGACTTGTGAACATATCATGAACAGAAGCTTCAACTCAAATAATAATCAGATGCAACTAAAAAAAACAAAAAAAATTAAAAAGGTACAAGGGAATGTTTTGGGTTTGATTTTTTGCATAAATAAAAGTGATTCTGTGTTTTAACAGTAACAAGAAATATTTAAAAAAAAAAAATCCATCCTCTTCCACTTATCCACTTCAATGTTATAGATTACAGATCGCTCATGGGGTAAGAGGTCGGGTACGCAGGCATGCAAGCACCAATTTCTCACCTTAATATCCCAGTTTCTCCAGAATAGTAGAAGAAACCACACTCTTCTATGAATTTGTTGAGCTGGGGCTTGAGGACACTGTGAAGTTTGTCTGCCTTTCCACCTTTCACATTCTGATGGTAGTCAAAGTTCACCATTTTCACTGCTGAAGCATGTTCTGATGCTTTCAGGTGACTCTAAAATGGTGAGACAGGTAGACTTCCTCAAAATCAAATCTATTGCAAAACTATTTTGCATGTAAGGTGTGTTGCCTTAACTGAAGGGAAAATTAATTTGCATTGCAAATCATTGACCTGAATTCTTGAAGCATGTCATAGTAATGTGTGAACATCCCGGTCGCATAGTCAGAAACCATTTTATATATTTTAAACACAAACTCAGCTCACTGATGACATCAACAGCATTTATGGCAACCCTAACATATGACACCTTAAGTCCCAACATTTCTAGCTGCTGCAAAACATGTAACATCTTTTGCATTTGCAGCTATATGTAAAATAGTCAGATGTCTATTCATATTAATGTACAGAATTCACCTGCTTGCTGCTACTACTGCACATTCACCCAGTGTGTGTGTGTGTGTGTGTGTGTGTGTGTGTACACACACACACACACACACACACACACACATATATACTATATATATATATATAATGTTTTTCCTCTACACCCCCCCCCCAATTTTTTTGCACATGTCGAGGAGCGTGTCAGGCTACATTTCACTGTGTGTTATACTTGTATAACTATGCAAGTGACAAATAAAGAACCTTGAACCTATATGGGGTTTTATACTTCATTATGTAAACTTCCTGTGTGGTTTGAGGGCAACTACAAGACCACAGAAAAAGACAGGGTTCGAGATCTTATGATAAAGGGTAAAAATAGAGGATGCTATGGTGTGCAAATATGTAAAATAGAAACAAATGAATAATGCTCTTTACTGACTCATTCACCAGAAAATACAGTAAGAAACTGAGGTAGTCTTTCTTGAGCAGCAGTACCCACCCACTTGAAATATTTTTCCCTGCCTTTATGGCGTGGGCTTACGTGGACACAACAGAGAGAATCTGTTTGAACATACATAGCTTACTGCTAGTGTATTTTGGAATGTCATCCTCAGATAAATATCTTACAGCACGTCACTGTTAACAGACAATGTATTGACCTCTCACCTGAAACGCTTTGCTGAGCATGTGTTCCCCTTCTTTACTTCCAAGCAGGTTGATTATCACCTGCTTACCATACAATCGCCTCAGTGCAGTAAAGTGTCTGCAAAACACACAATCTGATATAGTAAGCACTTTATAAAAATGACATTAAGCAGATTTATCTTATCCTTTACAAATTTCGCTTAAAATAAAATAAAAAATTCATACTTTGTAACAATAATTAGGACAGACAAATACAAATGACTTATCTATGATTAAACACCAACAGCCTAGTTTGCATCAAAAGTCCTGTCACTGTAGCAACCTTAACACACAACTCTGTGGCATACTGTTGTGTTAAACGATGCAAACGCGAGCGCTTCACCCACATTTGCAACTTAAATGGGACCTGTAATAAAAACTTATTTAGAAGCAGCGTATGAATAAATAGTCTGACAACATTAAACTCATGCAGCCCTCAGTTCTTAACAACAACACTGACAACACAACAGCAGCAGCAATGATGAGCCTCTTTGCACACTGTGAAGTGCAAAGTGGCAGACTCGTTACTGAGATTGTGAAAGAAAACGTGTTCCTAGTGTCCAAAACAGCAGCACTGTTCCTGTAAACACTATAAAAGCCTTTATTGAGAAAAAGCTCGTGGTAGTCCTTCATCAAAGCACCTGATCAACAAACTAACGTGAAGAAAAGCAAACTTTTTAGCTGCTCAATCCACCACAATCTGTTTTACACAGCGAAAAATTGAGGCTGTGACTGAAAACTGATGTGAGTAACTTGTTATAGCTTTGCAGATCTGTCAAGATCTGCAATCCTACTGAACACCTATAGGAGACAAAGACAGTGCTCTTTATCACCACTAAACACCAAAAGAGGGATTATTTTATAAGAATGGTGTTCAATCCCTCCAGTGATATTTGAGAGTTATGGAGAACTGCTGAGGTGCTGTTCTGGCAGCATCTGGTGGCCTAATACTTTCTAAGACACTTAATATTGTCTGTAGGCCTCTTATCTTAATGTTCCTCACAGCTTAAGATTTATATATCCACATGTGGCTCAAATGTTCTCAAGCTGTTCAAGCAAATGTTCAAAGCTGTTCTGAGCTGCACTCTCTTGTTCCATTGTCACTTGTAAGGCCTGTTCCTACCTTTTAATCTACCTTGCCCCTCTTATGAGATTTCCTCTACAAATGAATGCGGGTAGAATCCAGAAAAAGGACATTTCTATCCATGTCAACCAAAAGCCTGCACAGGACCTTAAAGCCTGCCTGGAATTCTCTTCTGGTTATTTCTTACAAGGGGGTTATAATCTTACTATAGCCTGTCTGTTAACACCACTGTTAAGATATGTGCTGAATTAAAAGTGATATGTAAAAGCTTTGACTGCAGTCATATTAATGGAAAAGAATACATGTGTAATGACATTCTTGGCTGCAAAACAAAAACTAACCAGATATCACAAAGGATGACTCATCATCCCTTAGCTGAATAGATATTAGAAAGATTAGTAGCCCTGACAACTACTTAGAGGGAAAAAACAAATAATGTGTTAAACAGTACTAATGATTTAAAGTCTAATATACATTCATATTCATAACTCAATTAAAATGCTCCACAAAAAATGAGTAGAATCCAAAAGATCTGGAAATCAAAGAAGTGCTGACAGAACTCTGTAAGACATATCTGCTGGAATGCACAGTGAATGACATGGCTACTTTGAGACTGGTTGGGTAGCTGCTGTGGGCTGATAAGAATGGAGTTCATACTATCAAGGTGTAACCCACAGATTCGGGTCATCATTTTTGTTCTTGATGACCTGAGTGTATGCTTCAGCAACAATGCATTGAGCTTAAAGCAAAGGAACTTGCAGCTCAGTTCTGTTGTTAACCCTACAGCTGTAACAAGCCAGTTCACAGTGAAATTCTAGAAAAAAGAAAAAAAAGTTTCATTTTATAAAGACTAAAGTCAAATTGTTCTTACTGGGAAAAATCTTAACTTATTTAATGATTATTAAAACATTTGCGTATGTAAAGAAACATTTATTTTTAGCAGACGGACATTAAGACATTGAGAGAAGTTTAATTTTTCACTTTTTTGATATTTAAATTTAACCAAAAAATGTTTGTATTTAATGAGGCACAAATAAAGATAGCTGTCAAGAACAGGCACACACACACTCATTAATTGAAATAATGACTTCCAATTTGAATGAACTACCTGTGATTAATGTAAACCACAGGTTATCAAGGCTGATGGCTAAATAAGGGCTACTAATAAACCAACCTCTGAGGACACACTGCAATTAATGTCTTCTTCACAGACCTTAATAGTTTTTCCTCTACTGTGACGAGTACATGAGATATACAGGAATAATATAGCATTTCCTCTGTGGTTCAGAGGAGTGGCTATCTGTGGTAGGCCAGATAAAGCTGCAGGAAACTGCTACACACAAAAAGAGCTGTGCACACAAAACAATTTAATTACCTTTCAAATGCCGGCGCATTTGCCTCAAATCCCCTTGAGAGTTTGACACGATGAGAACCAACCTGGAGAGACACAAGTCACAGTGTCCTTCTTTGGTGAAAGATACCAAAAAAGCCTGTTTTCTAAACACATACACATTGCAGATGACCAGAAAACCCTATGATGACAAATGGATTTCGGAAAGAAAGTGTAGACATCTGAAATGAGGAAACGAGTTCTTAATAGGGCCCAAAAAGAGAATTGCTTAGGAAAAGAGCAACATAGGTGCAAAACGGGGAGATTTGTTCCAACAAAGACACTGAGCAGCAGACAAATGATACATTGTAATTGATCAGCATTTTCCCACATTTAGCCTCTTTTTCTCATATTAATTCTCATTTTGAAAGTATGCTGACACTGAGCAAATCATCAGTCTCATAGGCAAGCATGACCACACGAGTAGACCTGGATAGGCTTTGCAAGACATTGGCATTGTGACTGTACTACGCAAGTCTCTTGACTCTGCAGAGCATGTCTCTACTTGTTCCTTTGTTATCCCTACCAATTTCTGCCTCACTCTGAGTTTACATCTTCTCTTCTCATTTGTGCATGGTGGCTCAGTGGTTAGCATAGCAAGTAGTCCTGGGTTTAAACCCAGGAAGGGCCCTTGCTGTGTTGAGTTAACATGTTTTCTCTGCTTATGTTGGTTTTCTGTGGTTTCTCCCACCATCAAATAACATGGCATCTTAAGGCTGGCTATCTGGGCCCAGGACACTCTTGCAAAAGAGACTCTTAGTCAGCAGAGTTTTACTTCCTGTATAAACAAAAGTTGATTCTCTCTGTGTTCAAATATTTCTCTTACTGTCTGTGACAGCTTGTTAAAACAAGAAAAAATATAGCAACACTCCCTCATATTTCAGCTAGTGACTCAGGATGCTTTCTGTGTCTAAAAAAACTGTAGTTTCTCTGGAGATAGTACTCGGTAATAGACCTCAGTATTGACTTTCATTGTGTTGTGGAAGGTTTTTACTTCCCTAAGAATCTTATATTTCCCTTTATTCTGCAGTGTGTGTTGAGCTTAGAATTAATCTGCTTTGTTTGCTTCTATGCGCCAATGTGGCCGAGCCTGGGCATGTGTGGAAGGGCTAACATTTTTGCTCCATGCTGTTGTCATTTGTCACTCCTCTCTTTCTCTACTGTTGAGCAGGTCTATGCTTTGCATATTTTATAACTTCCTGAGATGGCATCTGAAACTATTCAGGTTACAGCTGTACAACTCAGACCTGCAGAATAACTGCAGTCAAATCAGTTTTCTTACTTGCTCTGAATTCAAAAGCATCAACTGTTCTATGCAACGTTAACTAAATAAGCTTTGTCACCAACTACAGGAAGAGTTTTTTCACATTTCGTCTACTAATCTATAAAGCAGTAACTTATTAAATAAACATTTTCAAAATTATTTAGAATTAACTAAGAGGGATCAACCAATCATTTTAATGATTTACAGCCTTAATACTACACTACAAATATGATTTGTAGACTAATTAATATCTATGTCTAATGTGCACTAACTGAGAAAAAAAAATTAATCAGTAAATTTTACCATTGATAAACCAAATGTACAAAACCTGCTCAGGAGATATTAGAGAGTATGAGGAGGAGAGCTTAAAAGCCACAACTGGTGGGGATGAAGATCTAAGGCAGTGCTTTAAAGCAGGAGGACTACAGTTTTGTCTGAAAACAACCCCAAGCCCAATACCCAGTGTTTTGACCAAACCAATGACTTTGTGGACTGAATAGGTGATTAATTTGGTCTTAGCTTTTTTTAAGAGCTCCTGCAAAATTGAAAAGCTCTGTCCATATTATCAAATTAAATACTCATCCAGTTGCCTGGTGAATATCAGCGGACACAATGAAGGGAAGTGCTTCGGGAATGTTTTCAGATCAGGTTCTCTCACCTGACCAAAGATGTCTGGGAGCTGAGGAAAACAGAAGAATGCCCTTTACCAAACACTATCACTGTCATTAACCTCCCCCACATCTGATCTAATATTCCAGACTGTGCAATGTCAGGATAAAGGGAAGAAAATCCCACTTGTGTTCTTTGTGATGCAAATTAAATATGTGATTCCACTTCCTGATCAAAATATCAAAAATATTTTTACTCTGTACAGATACTGAGTATAGGAAGAAAATTCCATCAGGGGATTCCCTGATTTTCACAGATATCCTTTGTCATTGCACAGGGGAACACCTATCTGCAGTCTGAAAGCACCAGCACCAGCAAAGCAAAAAAAAAAAAACACAACACAAACAAAAAAGTTATACCAGGTGGAGGTTCTCAGCCAGTCTATTAGGGTGCCGATTCTCATTCAGTTGCAACAAAACACCCTTAATGGACTTTTTCTGAACACAGCAACAAAATGTGTTAAAAAGTGTGTGATAAATATATGCACTCCATTCCCTTCACACTGTCTTAGACAGACACATCTGCCATTTTTAAACAGTAAAACCTTTTTTGGCTTGTTCTGCAAATGACCAGTGCCAGTTTCATCAGTTCTTTAATTCACGCACACTGTTCCAGCAAGCCAAACTGAGCCTCATCTATAACTACAGCATCAATGATAATAATGACCAGCTTTTTAAAAAACAAACAAACAAAACAACACCCCACCCAAAGATCAGGCCTACTTTCATTTTTTTTTTAACTGTGTGGCTTAATATAGGAAAACCACAATCAACAGTTGTATGGGATACATTTAGCTTTCATTACCTGGATTCCCGGCTGTTCCCAGAAAAGAGAAATGGACCCACGGATCTGTATGAAGGATGAGACTTTGTCATCCAGGAAAATAACCTGTTCAAAACAAGATTACAAATTTGGTTTAGTGTATAATGTAACATTTTATGAAAAGAAATTAAATCCTAAAATAAGTAAGATGGGAAAAAAACTAAACAAAAAATACACATTGTATAAAACATCCATCTGCATAGGTGTATACTCGCGTGTGGTTTGTAGCTGAATTTTCAGAAAGCAAACGTAATGTAAAGCAGAAATCATAAAACAGACTACGTGTCGTTATAGGGCATGAGCACAACCTGTCAACACATGCTTGATCCTCAGCTTTTTACGGTGTCATTTTTATGGCAAGTATAAGGTTCCAAAAACTTTAACAAATTTCACCTGCTCAGTTTCCACAAAGTTGGCCACTTGTCCATCATCATTTGTTCCTCGGACATTGAATCGCGTGCCAGCACGCTCTGAGCTTAAGCGTGAGAAGATGCATGCCTTGGCTTGTTTGTGCCCTGCATAGATGGTCCTGATCTCCACACCCCCACACATCAGCCTCAGCAGCCAGTCGTCACAGTTTACACCGTAATGTTTTAGGTGCAGATGCAGAGATTGATTCCTAGTGATTCACAAAGTCAGATGTAACCGTAAACACAGAGAGCAGTTTTGCAAATCACAAAAGTTCCCCATATCACAAAATGAGAAAAACCATAAATTATAGCATATCTATAATGTTGGAACAGTAATGCTTTTAAGTTCCTACCAAAAGAAGCGGTTGTCTGTAGTGTCTTCTATGATTCTGCGATGTGCATTAAGACTCAAGTCCATGCTGACTCCAGTGGAAGACCAGGCAAAGTAGAAATGTCCTGAGTTTAGGACCTTTCGCACCTCAGCAATTCGTTCCTCATCTCCTGGATCATTCTTCAGTGATATAAAGTCTGTCTGCGTGACCCTGAAAACTTCTGAATCCTGCACCTTGCCCACGGAGCTACAGCCTGTCACAACTACAAGACTGTGGAGCATGGAGTCACCTGTGAAAAAAAATGTGAATATGAAAAAAAAATTACCATATTTAGTGCACACCCTTCTCTTATTTCCAGTTTTCATATTGTTTTTTTTTTAAATTCTTTGACACTACTAAGATATCTTTCCAAGTTCAAAATAATTCTTTATCTTATACTGGGTATGGGTGAAGCTCCTCAGTTCATTCACTATCTGAAGCAAGCCATTTCAGCTACTCTCCTTTAAAAGGACAAATTCCCTTTAAGCCAACTATCATTTGATGGGCTAGCAAACAAACAGACTGAACAGCAGGTGGGTGGGGCTGCTATGCTCACAGCCAGAGTTGTGTGCCTGATATCACAATATGAAGGATATTCTCTCTTTCTGACATCATGAAGATGCAAGAGTAGAAAAAAAATTCCTGGATATCAAATGTTTAGAACTTGATAATCTGACCTCACTGTTTAAAACACAATTTTAATATTAGCATCCACAACTGTAACATTATATTCTGGACAAAAAATGGTTAAAATCGCAAGCCACTCAAATCACAGCTTTAATCGCTTACAGTGCTTTTTTATTGTTGTGATAACAAGAGCCTTGAAGGGCACATGGAGGACATGAGAAAGCAGCTTAGAAGAAAGCAGCAATGGTGAAAATAATCAGAGCAAGTTCACAGTCAATCAGGAATGGACCCATCTAGGAGCAACAAGCAAAACACATTCTCACGTCTTACCAAGGTTTAGGCGAAGAACACCCAGAATTCCATAGGCATCTACTATCTTGGTATATGTGTTTTTAATAGCATCCTTCTCTGCTGCCGCTAGAAGACAAACAATGGCAACAAAATTTAAGGAAAATATTGCACCACCTTCCTTTGAAAATCATAGCAATATATCACATCCACCACTACACAATAAGGGATACCCATCTTTTAGTTGCATTGCCTTTACAGCTTCCTTATTTGGTGCAATGGCTTAAAAAGAATGTAAATCATATCTTATTATAGTATAATCAAACAAGATGCCTTACACAGAACAGCAACAGCTGCTGATTCAAACATGAGGCATTCCTCCCTGGCCCTAGTTTCCACTATGACACTGTAAGGTGGTGGGTCCAGCTTGTGGTAAATACGATATCCCTTGCTGAAGGCCATAATTGATCCAAGCTGGAAAAAAACCCTATGTTATTACCTGGAAAACAAGAGAAATTAAAAAAAGAATGACAATAGATCAGAAAAGAAATATTCTCACATAAAACACCTGCAATTTAATGACGATGAAAGCATCAGAAAGGTGATCTCAAATCTGCTCACTTTTTTTTTAAAAGATGTCTAGCTCAATATCAAAGTTATTACAGTTTGTATAGCTAACAGACTAAACCAAAGGCAAAGACATAAACGTTTCCATAATTTTGCAACACTCTTATTGTGAATTTAACGATTTCGGGGTTTCTTTTATTTATTTTTTTCAAATTTCTATTTAAACTCATAATTAGGCAATAATTAAATTCCTAATCCGGAAAGGGGGTAAACTTGCATTGCGAAATCCGAAGCTTAACGTGAGATCAAGTGCAGATGCAGCTCAGGCCCACGCCTATAATTAACTAATATAAAAAATTAGTACTGCAGGTAACTCAAGATTGCGAGTATCAGGAGCACTGCGACTGATAACGGTACTTGACAGTTAGGCCGGGGGGGGCTTAAATACCATCCATTGGACAGTCACGACTCCGTAATGCAACGGCAGAACAAACGCTAACGTTCACCAGCGAGGTAGCTCAAATGCTAGGTTTTGTGCAATCCTAGACCGACAAGTAAAACGACAGATGACAGTATAAAACGAAAGTAGCAGTAGTAGTAGTAGTAGCTGCCTTTAACCTCTGCAAAGCTACATGGTAACGCTAGCCAAGTTAGCTGGATGAATCACAGGGATAGCTATGATTCGCTAGCCTACAATATTTTGATGGTGGCACTTATCTGCATGTCCGGGGTGACAAACTGTTACTATTATATACATTTAACAAAGTCGGCCATGTAAAACATTTACACGCAAACATAATTTACATTTCTGCAATTCTTACTATCGACCGGTTTTTAAAGAAATTATGTAGAAGTAACACAATTTATCTAGTCTTACCGTCTCCCCCGCCGGGTTGTAACTCCGCTGTCACAACATAATCCTTCCCGGTGTGTTGGCAAAATGGTACATTCCGACGCAAACGTCCGCCTACCTCACGTTACCGTAATAGCCAAGGAAACGTAAAGCGCATGCCTTAGTACAAGAAAGGCATTGGAGTATGTAAATTAAACGTTTTGCAAGCGTGCAATATTTTAAATTCGTGCTAATATGCAGTTATGAACTACCCGACTTAAAAAAAAAAACACCATGAAATGTTTTGAGCAATTCCACCTATGATTGACAGCTGCTTTAATCCAATGAGTCCAACAGAGAACACTGCCGTCCAATCGTGTGTGCCTAGAGGTGGGACGTCGGCATTTCATAACCTCTGACATTTCTGTATAAAACAAGCGCTCCGACCTTCCTCATATAAACAACATTAGCCGGGGCATAAGTAATTGTGATGTATGTGACCCTGACGATTTTTTAAACAGGTAGGCGTCAAACAGAGGTAGCACTGTCTTGTTTTTCACAACATGCTAGAGAAGGTTAATGCTCATCTGCTATCTTCCGGTGGGATCTCCTCCAGCTTGTCAAGCAGGAACGTCGTTAGATTGTCTACTATTCTATGTAATGTTTCAGCCTGTCAGGAGATGTTGTTTATCGACGTTGTAGTTCAATGTCTCTAAAACAACCAAACAAATAAAGTATGTTTGCTTCCATGCAGATCCTTTCTTATTATTTAAATCGACTCTCTGTTACCAGACTCTGTTTTGTTTGTTTGTCTGTTTGTTTTTTTGTTTGGTTGTTTTTTGGAGGTGCCTGTTTACTTGTTTTCACGACTGTTAAAGATCCAAAAGTTTCAGCAAAATAAAATGTGCTTAGAAGTTTGGGTTTGATATTCTCATTTGAATTTTTACCACAACAATAGCTGTGTATTATGCTGTATTTGATTGTTTTAAATATCTGACAGTGCAGTGTATTGTTAATTTTTGTGACCTGTGTTCAGGCTTAAATCTAACTATCAACTGTCTTTCATATCTTCTCACGAGATACTTTTTAGCCCTTAAACATGAAGAGGCTTTTCCTCGTGGAGCCGGTGGTGGCCCTGTATGCTTTTGCCACTTTCCTCTACTATCCGCTTGTGCAACAGTATGCATACAGGAGAATCTGGCTGCAGGTGACAAACACCACTTACCTGAGCTCTGACAACACTTCCAGATGTGTGGCAAACAGCAACAGCAGCAACCAGTCTCACTATAATGAGGTTAGTCTTTAATCACTAAAGGCGTGTTATCCATTCCTGAAATTTGGAGTATCTTATTTTCTTTCTTTTTTCCCACCACACTGAAAACTAAAAACATTTTGAATATAGCAAGGATTGTTTAAGAATGAATGCCATGAAAAAAATCAATATTTGGTGCAAACATTTACCTTTAAACCAAGACACAGATTCTTTTAGGTCAACAGCTTTTCATGGTATTGGGTGGCACGTTGTTTCAATCATCTAAAAAAAAAAACGGTCTGGAGCTTCTATGTGAGTTTCTTACATATTAATTCCAGACTGACATGTTATGGCTATGACTCTGGATTATTTGCATGTTTTTATCGGTAGTTCCTAATGACTCCGTATGTTTATGTTAATTTGCATGACTTGTACACTAATCAGATGCCTCCGATGGTCTTGTGTGAGACATTTTAACTGCTTAAAACTTTCGCACAGTACTCTAGTAATAATAACTAGTACATTTACGTAGGGCTGTGCGATATGACCAAAATCTCATATCCCGATATTAAGACATCTATCATCTGATAACGATATAAATCACAAAAAATGTAACATTTTGTGTAAATTCTATGAATCTCGGGCAGCTCGACTTGCGTGAAGTGTTTCCAGCTGGACGTCGCCTACCGGGAGTCGAGTGTTTTAACTGATGCATGAAACGATACATTTTTAGACATAAGTTGTAACTGGCGCTGTTTTCTTTGTGAGTATTTATTACACAGCGTGCTGCGGGGAAAAGCCTGTTCTAACTTTGAGTCTAAGGTTTATTTTTTAGCACCTGACGGCTCTTTTTTGCTTCTTACCCGTAAACACTCGGCATCTTTCACGTAATTCAGTTTATTTTGAAAAATCTCAACAGGATCTTGAGCTTTATTGTAAAAGGTTTATGTGGAACAAGCGGACACGCGGTGGTTTTACCTTCGTTGTTGCTAAGGACAAGGCAAAAAAAAACCCCCACAAAGGCTTGTCTGTCTGTAGTGTGATTATATTAAATGTAAGAGAAAGAGAACTTTAAGAAATTAATATAGCCACTACAGTGACCATCAAAATAATGAAAAAATATTGCCATAAACAGTTTATTACACCACGAAACAAACAATAGCGTAAAATGAAACATAGAAATTTTTATATCGCCATCCGATATATATCTTATATCGAACAGCCCTACATGTACGGTATAACAAGTTGCCTACTTAGAACTTGTAATAGCATTACTAGTTCCATGTCTACTTTCAACGTTTTTATTCATACATTTTTCCCATAAACTTTTAACTTCCTCTCTTTCACAGTTTGGGTTACAAAGATTTCTTTAGCTTCTTTAGCGCAATAAGGTGACGTGCAAAGAATTTCTTATGACTACAGGTCTGTGCTCATGCAGATACCCACATACTGTATAGCTACACTATAGCTAAAAAGTGATAATCTTACAGAATACAGATATGATGGTACAATCTTTTTATTTGTAGGATGTTTGCAATAAACAAACAATTTTGTAACAAGGATGTAAAAGAGTATTGTTCTATGAGCCCCAAAAGGTTGATTTTGTTCATCTGGACATAGTCCTTTCAGTGGGAGGATGATTAAGCATGCATCAAGACATTGTTCTATGAGGAACAATGTCATTTTACTTTAACATGCATGTATAGAATGAGAATTACACATAAAAGAGAAGTGAAAACCACAACAGGACAAAACTTGTTTTATCTGTAAATGGCCACAACAGCACCTGTTGTGTTATAAAAAGCTTTTTTTTCCCCACCTCCCCTTTTAGTCCTGAACATTAAAAGTTCTTATGAAATGTCTAAAAATAATTAGTTTTTATATATATATATATATATTTTTTAAATTCTTCCACTGTTTAAGGTATGATCAAGATATTTTGATCTGGCTCCAAAAAAAAAAACTTCTCCTTCAACATCCTCTATTTGTGCACCCCTGCAGTGCTTCCAGGACTCCTGTTAACATTAAATTTAGGTTCAAGAGTTGCTGTTGAGGAGAGCTGAGGACATCTAGCGTTCCTCATAAATGGAAGCTGACAGAATTTAAAGGGCTTTACAATTAACCACATTTTTTCTCTCTCTCTTTTTTTGCTTTTGCAGGAGGTACAGAGGCAGACATCTCTCTTCTCCGTTTACACAAACATCCTATCCACAGTCCCATCTTTGGTGGTCACTCTCATACTGGTGACCTACAGCGATCAAGGAGGACGCAAGATAGCCATCATCATGCCTATGATTGGCACATTGATCTACACATTGTCTTTGCTGACTGTGTCCTACTTTGAACTCAGCATTTACTTGCTCTTTGGCTCCTCAATTCTTAGTGCTCTGTGTGGTGGTATGGGCACATTTCTGGGTGGCTGTTTTGCCTACATAGCAGACTTGTGCGAGGATGATCGTCAGAAGACATATCGCATGGCTGGATTGGAAATGATGATTGGCCTGTTGTCTGGACTGGCTGCATTATCGTCAGGCTACTTTCTGAGAACTGTGGGATTCAACTGGCCTTTCCTAACCTCTTCATTGATGCTCGTTTTGATCCTGCTCTATGCCATCTTTGTCCTTGAGGAGACTGTGAAGAAGGCTCCAACTAGTGCCGTTACTTTAGATGGATCTCCTTGGTATTTAGGCATGAAACAGATGCTCCGTGGGGTCTGCCAGATGCTTGCAGGGGCCAGCTGCAGGTGGAAAACTGTTCTGGCCCTTCTCATTATTATCTTCACTTGCGTTTCCTTTGCATATGTAGGAGGGATGTCCGTGATAACACTGTACGAGCTCAGTGAGCCGCTGTGCTGGACTGAGATTTTGATTGGCTACGGCTCAGCACTCACCACCACTGTGTTCCTGACCAGCTTTGCAGGAGTGTCCCTGTTTACATACTGTGGTGTGCCCCAGCTGCTCATTGTCCTGTTGGGGATCCTGTCTGTTGTATCAGCCATGCTCACTGCGGCATTTGCTAAAACAACCTTGTTGATGTTTATAGGTGAGGAGGAAAATGCAACTATTGGAATGTACAGTAGTTTTGACTCGTACATAAAATGAAGAGATAATACTTTTTAACCCATGTTTGTTTAAATAAAAAAAATAATTATATAATTATTTTTATTTATTTATTTTTTAACAAGGTGTGCCATGAACTAAGTCCATAGTTTAGTTGTATCTGTTTTTAACACCGTGAATTAGGAAATTGCTTATATATAGTTTCTGACACAAATTTAGTCTTTAGTGTTTTTGCATTGATCTATTGTAGAATTTGTCTTAATATGCGGTATGAAAAGAGGAAAAATGCATCAACCAAAGCCCGTTTCAGTGTTCATTGTGGGCACGATATTAAATGGTCGGGTGTAAAAACACAGAATGTGTCATATTAAAAAGAATAAGGACAATTTTAGCTGCAGGAAGTAGAAATGCCTTATGTTTTTTTTTTTTTTTTTTTTTTGCAGAAAAAGCACATAAGGCATTATAAACAGAGAAATGGCACCCCCAAAATACATCGCATGCTAGTGACTTGGATTACTAATTGACAGAATAGGACTTTTTATGGTGGCTTTATAAGGTGCACAACTGCTACTAGAGACTCCTAATTTTTTTAGTGCATTGTAAACTTATAAACAGTGTAATTATGTTATCGCTCATTTGCTTACTTTAATTATCTTATTGCAACATTCTACGTAATTGAAAACACACATCTGTTACATTTATAGATGCAACATACTTTTTTCATAAGTAACTAAACAATTTTGCAAATATTAATTTCCTCATGTATAGTTTTATGCAGTTACATTAAAACTACAGTGTGATGCATTATATAATGCTGATCTTCTGTTTGTCATTTGCCACAGTGAGGATACCAATGCTACTGTCTATCATGCCTTTCCCTGTACTGCGATCCATGATGTCAAAGATTGTCCCAAAGTCTGAGCAGGGTGAGTGACT